AGCACCGTCAGCGCCGCCATCGGCGTCAGGAATAGGAGCCGGTGCGGCGGGCCGACGGCTCGGAGCTCGTAGCGCGGCGCGGCGGCGTCGAGCTCGAGGCCCAGCGCCGCGTTCGCGAGCGCGGCCTCGCCGCCGCCGCCGAAGAGCGCCCGGGGCAGCATCGCGCCGGGGTAGCCCGCGTTTAAGGGCGCCACCTCGAGCGCCTCCGGCGCGTCGACGTCGCCGTCGAGCAGCGCCGTCGTCTCCGAGGAGCCCGCGAGCGCGTCGCGCACGCGCTCGAAGCGCGCCGACGGCTCCGGGAGCGCGGCGGACGGCGCCGGCGACGCGGCGGCGAAGGGCGCCTCGCAGCCCAGGGCGACGTCGCCCGACCACGCCGGGGACGCCGGCAGGGAGAAGGTGTCGCGGAAGCCCGCGCGGCCCTCGACGCGGCCGAGCTGCCAGTGGACCTCCTCGGGGCTCGGGCCGTCGCCGGAGACCGTCAGCGAGTAGCAGACGTCGAGCTCGAGGCAGTGGAAGTCGACGGCGGACGCGCCCGACTCGAGGCCCCCGGACCCGACCGCGCCCCGTTCGCCGCGGATCTCGTAGGTCTCGCCCCAGCCGTCGCCCCAGAGGTCCCACATCTCCATGGGCGCCCAGACGCCGTCGCAGGCGCCGTCGTCGGGCCTCGCGACGCGCGCGTCGAGCGCCGTCGGCGCGGGCGCGACGGGCCCGTCCGCGTCGGGGAAGCCCGGGCACGACGCCGCGAGCGACGCGGTCCCCGCCTCGAGCGCGACGAAGCTCCGCGGCTCCTCGCAGGACACCGTCGTCCGCCAGAAGGCGTCCGCGTCCGCGGGCGCCGCGCCGGCGAACGCGGGCCCGAGGGTCCAGAAGCAGGGCGCGAAGACGCCCGGCCGCCCGCCGCTCACGTCGACGCGGTAGCAGCCGTCGCCGAGGCACAGGTCGTCGCGGACGTGCGCCGACGTGCGCTTCTCGCCGGCGGCGACGAGCGCCGCGGCGCCGTCGAAGACGGCGAGCGCGCGATCCTGCCACGCGCCGCGGAGCACGAGCGCGTAGCAGCGCCGCGCGTCCGACTCGAAGACGACGCCGCCGCCGTCGGCGCCGCAGTCGAAGCCGCAGGCGCCCGTCTGGTCGTCGTAGGCGCAGCCGGGCGTGGCCGCGCAGGCCGCGACGTCGCACGCGTAGCACGCGTCGCGCGAGCACGCGGGCGCGAGGAACCCGGCCGCGAGGTCGACGGCGCAGAGGTCGCCCGCGCCCGGCAGGCTCTGGCTCGCGCAGCCCGGCACGGCGTCGCAGGCGGACGCCGTCGCGCAGAGCGCGCAGGACGCCGGGCCGCAGGCCTGCGCGCCGCAGCCGTAGTAGGCCTCGTCCTTGCCGCACGCGTCGCCGAACGCGCACCCGGGCGCCGCGTCGCAGAGCTGCGGCACGGGGCAGAGCTCGCAGAGCTCCGCGCGGCAGGGCCCCATGCCGTCCTCGAGGAAGCTCAGGTCCTGGGCGCACGTCCCGAAGGGCGTCGTCGAGCAGAGGAGCAGCGCGTCGCACGCGGCGCCGGCGCCGCACGCGCCGCAGTTGACGTTCGAGCACGCCAGCGCGGCGTCGTCGGCCTCGCAGCGCGTCGCGTCCTCCGAGAGCTTGCAGCCGGGCACGTAGCCGACGGCGCAGAGGTCCTCGTCGCAATTGCCGCAGGCGTAGTAGGGCACGCACGCGTCCGGGCGCGCGCACGCGAAGGACGCGCCGAGCAGCGCCGGGTCGCCCTCGTAGAGCTCGCAGGTCTCGCTCGCGCGGCAGGCGCCCTCGCCGCAGGACTCGCAGTCGTCGCAGCGCGGGTCCACGCAGAGGTCGGCGCCGTCCGCGTCCTCGACGACCGCGCAACCCGCGGCGGCGCAGGCTTCCCCCGTCCCGCAGGCCCAGCAGTGGTCCGGGGAGCAGTCCCGGGCCTCGACGCACAGGCCCTCGTGGCGCATGCAGCCGTCCGTGGCGTCGCAGTCGTCCTCGAGGCAAAAGTAGCAGTTCGTCGGCGAGCAGGCCTCGACGCAGAGCTTGGGTCGGAAGTCGTCGTCCGCGCCGGCGAAGAGGTCGGAGGCGTCGACGAGGTCGCAGCCCCGGGCCTCGCACTCGTCTTCCCCGCAGACGTGGCACTTGCCCGCGCCGCACGCCTCGGCGCAGTAGTCGCCGAGCCACTCGCAGCCGTCCGCGGCGCCGCACTCGGCCTCGGCGCACGCCCAGCAGTCGTAGTCGCCCGAGCACTCCCGGAACGCCGTGCAGCTCGGGTGGAAGTAGTCCGCCGCCCCGGGCCCGCCGCGCGGCGCGTCGAGCATGCACCCGTCGACGCCCGCGCACTCGTCGAGGCCGCAGGCGAAGCACGTCGCCGCCCCGCACGCGTGATTCGTGTCGCAGAACGGGTAGTCGCCGCCGACCCACGCGCAGCCGTCGCCCGCGGCGTCGCACTCGTCCGCCGCGCGGCAGGACCAGCACGCCGTCTCGGAGCAGGTCTCGCCGCAGTAGTCGAACTCGGCCTCGTAGAAGCAGCCCGCGGCCTCGCAGCTCGACGCCGTCGGGCAGGACCAGCACTCGGCGTGCTCGCAGGCGTCGTCGCCGGCGTCGAGGCGGCGGCGCGACCAGGCCTCGACGAGGCGCCGCCACGCGGGCGAGTCCGCCTCCGCCGGCGGCGCTGCGACGCCGCCGGCGGACGGCCGCGACGCCGCGACGAGCGGCAGCAGCCGCGCGACCCAAAGCGCCGCCATGGTGGCCGCCGCCTTCGAGGAGTTTCGAGGCTTCTTGACCTTCACCGCTCCTTCACCGTCGGTCGAGGACCCCCTAAGGACCCCCGCGGACGATCGGGGAGACCGGCCACGCTCCTCTATGACCGCCTCACCGTCGCCACTCGCACTCGAAGCTCTCCGTGGCGGAGTACTTGCAGTTGCACCGCGTGTTGAAGAGCTCCCGCTCGAAGTCCGGGAACCAGCCGCGCCAGCGCGCCTCCGCGACCATGATGGACCGGTTGAGGCCGTTGTCCTCGAAGGACTCGACGACGGCGTCGGACATGAAGAAGTAGAGGTAGTCGTCGTAGATGCGGTAGGCCCGCGTGTCCACGGGAGGCCCGAGGTTCGCGGCCGTCCAAGAAAATCCGTTGGCGTCGAACTCGGACGCGAGGCCGTAGGCGCAGAAGCCGCCGAAGCGCGGCTCGTAGCGGCCCGGGTCGTCGACGAAGGCGCGCCGGTTGATCGCGTTCTTGAAGTACCAGCGGTAGCCCTTGTAGTCGTAGGAGAAGTCGCGGCCGCCCTCGATGAGGTTGCCGTGGAACGGCGAGACGACGTCGAGGCCGTTGAGCACGGGCACCTTGGACGTCGTGCAGTTGCAGTCCTCCTTGCACGCCGTCGCGTGGTACTCGAAGGGCGCGTCGTCCGTGGCGTTGGCCGCGGGCGCGGCCGCGCCGTCGTCGTCGCCGGGCCGCGGCGGCGACGGCCGCGTCGTCGCCGTCGGCCAGGGCACGAAGGCGTTCGCCGCCGCGGCGGTCGGCGCCGGCGTCGCGATCTGCGCCGACGCGAGGGTCGCCGCGTGCGGGGCGAGCGGCGCGGCGGCGAGCGGCGCTTCGAGCGGACGTCGCCGCGCCGTGACCGCCGCGGCGGCGAACATGGCCGTCGCCGCGATGGCGGCGCCCGCGAGGGCCCGGCGGCCGGATCGCGGGGCGGGCGGCCGCGCGGGCGCGTCGAGGGCGTCGGCCTCGGTCCCCCGAGGGCTGCCCATCTCAGAGTGCGCCATCGATTTGGCCACAAGTGCGGGTTGATATTCGCCGTCAAACAAAACGCTGCCCTTTTGTGCACTATGGTGGCCCTCTCTTTGCCCATCCCCAAGGAGCCCGTCGCCCGGGACGAGCCGACGGCGGCCGACGGCGACGGGCTGCCGCCCTTCTTCGAGCTCTGGCTGTCGCAGAAGCTCGGGAAGACCGTGCGAAGCGTCCGCCTCCTCGACGAGCCGCCGAGCGCGCTCTCGCGCGTCCAGGTCGTCGAGGCGGCCTGCGAAGACGGGTCGTTCGTCGAGCTCGTGCTCAAGTCGACGCGCTTCCCCGTGCCCGCCGCCCGCGTCGCCCTCGGCCTCGCGCGCGAGGCCGACTTCTACAACGACGTCGCGCCGCGCCTCGGCGCGCTCGTCCCCCGCTGCTACTTCGCGGGCGGCGACGTCGCGACGGGCGACATGATGGTCCTCCTGGAGCGGCGCGCGCCCGGCGAGGCGGACCACGCCGCCGCCGCGCGCGCCTACGCGGCGCTCCACGCGGCGACGTGGGGCGCGCCGCGGCGGCACTGGCATCGCGCCGCGGCGCCCGACGCGGCCGCGTGGCGCCGGCTCGGGGCGAGCGTGACGGTTGACGCGCGCCTCGCGGCGCGCGCCGCCGCGGGCGCCGCGGCCTACGACGGGCCCGTGTGCCTCTGCCACGGCCACGCGCGCGCGGACCACGCCGTCGCCGGCGGTTTCGCGAGCTTCGGCCTCGCCGGCGTCGGGCCGGCGACGGCGGACCTCGGCGCCTACTGCATCGCGGCCCTCGCGCCCGAGGAGCGCCGGGCGACGGAGCGCGCGCTCGTCGCGACGTACGCGCGCGCGCTCGACGCGGAGCTCGCCGCCGCGGGCCTCGACGCGGCCGCGGCCGCGCCGGACGCGTGCTGGCGCCGCTACGTCGACGGCGGCGTCGCCGCGTGGCTCGCCCTCCTCCCGGACCTCGCGCCGACGCTCCCGCCGGGCGAGGCCCAGACCATCGCGGACCGCCTCGCCGCGTTCGTCGACGACCACCCGGGCGCCTAGGCCGCCGGCGGCGGCGCGGAGCAGGGGGGGCACGATGTCCTTCGGTTCTTACACGTCTCGTTACGCGGGGTTCGACGCAGCGCCACTGGCAACTCGACTTCTGGCGGCCGCGGCACACGCACGGTAAATTTGGACGAAGGTAAGCTAGTTATCACATGCCAGGCTAGTCATCCGGGCTCGTTATCCCCCCCGACGGCGACCTGCGCTCAGAAGTTACTCACGTGCGTGGCGTCGAAGGGCCGGAGCTTGTCGACGGCGCCGTAGGCCGCCATGGCGTGGGCCCGGCCGCCGAGGAAGGCGCGCGCGGTGGCGCGGAGGTCCTCGGGCGATACCGCGTCGACGCGCGCGAGGAGCTCGGCGAGGGGCACGCGGCGGTCGTAGGTGAGGAACTGGCGGCCGATCTCCTCGCAGACGTGGGCGAGCGCGTCGAGCTGGGAGATGACGTTCGCCTTGAGCTGCGCCTTCGCGCGCGCGACGGCGTCGTCGTCCATGAGGTCGCCGCGGCCGAGCGCGGCGAGGTGACCCATCGTCGCGGCGACGGCGGCGTCGCAGCCCGACGCCGGCGCCACGAGGTAGAGGCCGAAGAGGCCGCCGTCCTTGTAGCACGTGTTGAACGTCACGTACGAGTGGCAGTCGTCGGACGCCGCGAGAACGCGCGCGAGCGCGCCCGGCGCGCCGCCGGCGCCGCCCGCCGCCGGGTTGAGCCGGTCCCACTGGCCCAGCAGCGTCTGGAGCACCATGAGCGGCACCGCGTACTTGGACGTCCACGACGCGCCGGAAAACGCGAGCGCGACGTGCGCGCGCGGCTCGTCGGCGTCGGGCCGCCGCACCTCCGTCGGCGTGAAGACGGCCGCGTCGAAGTCCGCGGGGAAGGTCGTCTGGGAGCTCCGCGGCCGCGCGCCCCAGTGCTCCGATGCCAGGTCGACGACGGCGCCGTGGTCCAAGTTGCCCGCGGCGGCGACGACCATGCGCGGCGCGGTGTAGTGCGTCCGCACGTAGGCGTCCAAATCGTCGCGCGAGATGGTCCGGATGTTCGCCTCGGGCCCCAAGATCGTGCGGCCCAGGCCGCCGCCGCGGTACGCGGCCTCGTGGAGCAAATCCAAGATGAGCTCCTCGTGCTGCTTGTTCACCTCCTCCATCTCCCTCAATATGACATCGCGCTCGCGCTCCACGGCGCCCGCGTCCAGGAGGGAGTTCTGGAGGATGTCGCCCAGGATCTCCATGCCCGCGCCGACGTCCTCCTTGAAGAGCTTCGCGTAGTAGACCGTCTGCTCGCGCGACGTGTACGCGTTGAGGTGCGCGCCCATGTCCTCGACCTCGACCTCGAGGGACCGCTGGCTCCGCTTCGCCGTGCCCTTGAAGGCGATGTGCTCCAGGAAGTGGGCGCTGCCGTTGTTCGACGCCGCCTCGTAGCGGCTGCCGGCGTCGATCCACACGCCCAGGGTCACGGTCTCGCACTCCGCGGGCGTGCGCTCCGTCGCGACGCGCAGGCCGTTGGGGAGCGTCGAGCACTCCGTCAGCTCCGGCAGGGCGCCGAAGAAGCGCCGGGCCCCGAGGTCGCGGCCGAGGCGGCGAGCGGCAAGCATCGCGCCGCGCGGCTTCGCAGAGGCCAGCATTCGCTGCATCGCGCCGCGATACTCCCTCGTCCGGCCTGTGCGACGCCTCAAGTGACGCCTCTGTGTGTGGACGCCGTCAATTACGCCGTCGCCACCGGTCGCCGGACAACCGCGGGGGGCTCAACAGGCACGAATTAAAGCACGAGGGGCGTCCCGCCCGGCCGGCCCCTAGGGCGGCGCGGCGATGTCCAGCGCGACGTCGCGGGGCGCCGCGGACGGGCGGCGGTGGAGGACCGCGTCCGACGCGTGCGCCGCGCCGCTCGCCGCGTGCGCCGCCGCGCCGGACGCGCGGTGGACGACGCCCCCGGCGACGTGCGCCGCGCCGGCCGCGCCGTGGACGACGCCCCCGGCGACGTCGGCCGCGCCGTGCGCGACGACCTCCCCGGCGGCGCGCTCCGCGGCGGTCGCGGCGTCCGACGCGGCGAGCTTCACCTTGGACGCCGCGCGCGCCGCGGCCTCCTTGGCGGCCGCCATGTTCGACTCGATGAGGTCCGTTGTCACGCCGATGGCCATGGCGATGATGCCGACGCCGATGAGGATGAAGAGCACCTCCCAGAGCGTGACGTCGCGGATGCTGTAGTCGCCGAAGCCGATCGTCGACAGCGTCACGAACGCGTAGTAGCACCCGTTGCCCAAAGTCCAGCCCATCTCCTCGGACGCGTGGTACCCGTAGGCCAGCACGAAGAGGAACGGCAGCGCGAACACGAACATGCACATGCACCCCTGGAAGGCCTTCGTGTCGCCTGCGGACGGCGGCGTGAGGGGGAGAAACAGGGACGGGGGGACGCCGCGCGCCTTTTCACCGATGCTCGCGAGGTCGTGGTGCACCTTCTTGTTGAGGCGCGCGATGCCCGCCATGAAGTAGCCCAGGGCGATGACGCCGGGGAAGAAGATGATTACGACGAGGACCTTGCCGCCCGCCGTCGCGGGCGTGAACGTGCCGTAGCCGATGGTCGTGAAGATCGTGAACGCGAAGTAGAACGACCCGATCCAGTTCCAGTTGCAGTGCTTGAGCTTCGACGTGCACTTGGAGTCGAGGTCCGCGCGGTTGCAGCGGCCGCAGCGCGGCGTCGGCACGGAGAGCGCGTCGACGATGTCCGCGTAGTCCGACTTCGTGATGTTGTACTTGGCCCGCATGCCGGCGAGCGTCACGCGGGCGTGCATCGCGCGGCTGAGCTCCTTGGGCGTCTCGATGGCCTGGAACGCCGACGCCGCGCAGGCCGTGAGCACGAAGAGGAGCACGACGGACTTCCATCCCCGCCATCCGCCCCGCTGCCCACCATCGTCTAACCAAAAACACTTTTTGTTTTCATTGAACCTAAACATCGGCCCGAGGCTGGGTCGTGGCCGATGAAGGCCTCGATGAGGCTTCTCGGCGTCTGGGCTGCACTGCTTGCGTTGCCCATCGCAATTGCGAGGAACGCGACGTCGTGCTGGGGCAGCTGCGGCGTCTTCGACGACGAGCGCTGCTCCGTGTCGGAGGCGTCGTCGGTGCTGGTACTTGGCGACAGCGTGACGCAGAGCTTCATGCCGGCGCTGGAGGAGCTGCTGCGGCCCCTGGGCCTCGCACCGATCATGCCCTCGGGTGAGTCGCGCAAGGGCTGGTGCGGCTCTTCCCACGGGCTGCGAGGATGTTTGGAGCCCCTCGTCGACGGACGCCGCTTCGCGGTCGTCTATTTCAATTGGGGTTTACACGACATCAAGCCCCACACCTACGCCAAGGTCTCGCGCGCGGAGTACCGCAGCAATATGATCGACGCGTTCCGTCTGCTGAACGCGTCGACGCGCAGTCTCGTGTTTGCGACGACGACCCCGGTCGGCGCGCGAAACGCGAAGCGCGGCGACGGCGACGTCGTCGAGCTCAACGCGGTCGCGCGCGAGGTCTTCGCCGACACGGCCGTCCTCGACTTGTACGCGGCCGTCGTCGACGAGTGCCGGAAGACCTACCCGGGATTCCCGGAACAGTCGGACTGCCCGCGAATGCAAACCGACGAAATCCACCCGACGGCCGCGGGGCAGCGCCTGCTCGCGCTCCTCGCGGCGTCGGCCATCCTCCAGGCCGCCGAGGCGCCCATCGGCGAGGCCGTCGTCAACGCGTCCGCCGCGTCCTGCGTCCGCGACGTGCGCTACTACGACTCCCGCGCGCGCGACGGGAAGGAGCCGCGCTGGTGGATCATCGCCATCGCCGGCGCCGTCCTCGTCGTGCTCGCAGTGCTGGCCGCGGCCCTGCGCTGCCGCCGCGCAACCCCCCGACCCGAATCCCCGACGTCCGGCGTCGCCCTCGTCCCCGCGGCCGCGCTCGCGTGAGACAGACAGTAATACGTTACGCGGGGTCCACGGGCGTGGACGCGCCGTCGTGGAGCGCGTCCTGCTTGTGGTGGGAGCAGGCGACGAGGTCCTTGCGCGTGAGGATGCCGACGACGCCGTTGTCGCGGTGGTCGACGACGACGAGGTGGCGGAGGCCCATGGTCACGAAGAGGCGGTACGCGCGGCTCACGGGGCAGTCGTCGTAGACGACGTGGGGCGACCGGACCATGATGGGCGCGAGGTCGAGGTCGTGGTCCGGCCCGGTGTCCGCCGACGACTCGCGCGTGCCCGGGGCGTCGTCCGAGTCGCGGCCGAGCGGGTGCTCGGGGAAGAAGCGCGCCGCCGGCGCGCCGTCCCCGGCGGACCGCGACCGCACGCTAACCCCGGCGTCGTAGGACGACGTCGCGAGGCGCGTCGCCAGGTCCGGCGGGAACGCGCCGCGCGCCGAGTCGTCGAGGCCCGGCCCGTGGCGCAGGAGCGCGCGGACGTGCTCCCGGAGCACGAGGCCCAGGAGCACGCGCGGCGGCGGCCGCGCGCGCGCGGCCTTTGGGTTTTCCGCGTCGCCGCGCTCCGGCTCCTCCGGCGCGTCCAGCACCACGGGGAACGCGCCGTGGGCCGTGTGCTTGAGCACGCGCCGCGCGTCCGACGCCCTGGCGACGCGCGGCAGCGACACCACCGGCCGCCCGACGACCAGATCCGCGACGGGCCGCGCGTCGAGGCCGGCGTGGACGTGCTTCTCGAGGAAGGGCACGTGCTTGAGCTCCAGCGCGAGCTCGTACAAACCCTCCGAGAGGAAGTTGCCCGCGCCCCGCGCGCAGACCGTCGCCACGATGATCGGGATCAGCAGGTGCTGGTTGCCCGTGCCCTCGAGTATGATGACCACGAGCGACACCGTGGACCGCTGCACGCCCGCGAGCAGCGACACGGCGCCCAGCAGGGCCACGTGGCGCTCCGCGGCGCCGCGGAAGCCGTCGGGGATCGACGCGAGCCGCGCGAGCGCGCCGCCGAGGCACGCGCCGCAAAAAATGAGCGGCAGGAACAGGCCGCCCGGCAGCGCGTTGCCGAAGACGAGCGCGAGCGTCGCCAGGGTCAGGACGCCGCTCAGCAGCAGCCCGCCGCCGCGGAGCTCGCCCGCGCCGGCCTCGAGAATCTTCTTGATCGCGCGCTCGCGCGATCCGAACCAGAGGCTCGCGAGCTCGTGGACGTGGCCGGGCGCGCAGTCGAAGCGCCGCGCGAACTTGTCGTCCACCGTCCAGGCCGCGACGTCGGGCGACGCGCGCACGCAGGCCCACGCCGACGACGCGCGCGCGGCCCCGTAGAACGCGACCGACGTGACGGCGACGCCGACGACCGCGTCCGCGACCTTCAACGCCGCGCGCCGCCGCCCGGCGGCGCGCGCGTCCGGCGCGCGCCGGCCGACGGCGTCGCCCGCGCGTCGTCGCGCGCGCATGAGCGCGTGCCAGCACACGTTGAAGCCCGCGCCGAGCACGCCGCCGAGCACGCCGACGAGCGCGGCCAGCGGCAGCAGCGAGATCGCGACCTCGCCGTCGGACGCGCCGGCCAGAGAGATGAGGCCGTAGTGGCTCAGGCGCCGCAGGCGCCAGACCCGGTGCTTGAGCGCCAGCGCCGTGAAGGTCGAGAGCACCGTGCCCACGAGCCCGCGCCAGAGCAGGTGCGTCGACCAGAACGACGACGCCTCCTCGAGCGAGAAGAGCACGCCGCCGATGGGCGCCCCAAAGGCCGCGGAGAAGCCGCAGGCCGCCCCCAGGCTCAGGAAGTCGCGGCGGTCGACGTCGCTGTGGAAGAAGGGCGGCGGCCGCTCGTCCTCGGCCCGCGACGCGTCGGCCGCCGTCGCGCCGCGGCCCCGCCGCGTCGCGTAGAGCGCCGCGGGCCGCCTCCGACGCGCCGCGCAGCGCGTCGGGTCGAGCCCGCCCGTGAAGAAGGACCCGACGATGGCGCCGAGGTGGACGAGGGGGCCCTCGGGGCCCAGGGACGCGCCGGAGCCCACGGCGAGCGCCGTGCCGAAAAACTTCACGACGAAGACGCGGACGCTGAGGCAGCCCCGCATGCGCACGCCGTTGAGGTAGGCCTTGACGACGGGGATGCCGCTCGCCTCGGCGCCCGGCGCGCAGCCCACGGCCGCGGCCGCCGCGGCCAGCGCGAGGACCGCGTTGATGAGAACGAACGCGGCGAAGCCGGACCGTTCCCGCGGCGCGACGCGGCCGTTGCGCCACTCGACGAGCACGTCCGTGAGCTGGGCGAGGGCGATGGCGACGACGCCCATGGAGCAGCCGATGGCGCAGGTCACGACCCAGCGCGCGAGCGTCCGGCCGCTGTAGCCCACGCACGCGACGCGGCGCGCGGGCCGCCACCGCCGCCTCTCCGCGACGGACACGTCGTTGACGAAGTCGTCGTAGTTGAGCGACCCCCAGCTGTCCGCCGGCGCCGGAAGGGGCGCCGGCGCGTCGTCGGCGACGGCGACCTCCCGGCCGGACCGCGCGAGCTGCCAGTGGAAGGCCGACCAGAGGCTCGCGGCCTCCGACTCGCGGCCGGCGCCCTCGGGCTGGCCGCCGTCGAGGCGCGTGTACGTCTCCTGGTCGTCGTCGGGCATGGTCGTGCGAGCGAGCGCGCGATGCACTCGGTCGGCGCCCGCGGACCCGGTGCGGCGCGGCGCAGCTCGAGCTCTTGCCTGTGGACGAATTGCGACTGGCCGCAGCCAATCAGAGGCCGCCGCGAACGTTTTGGGTACCGGTGCTGTGAGATCTTGTGAGGGCACACACGTCTCTGCGGCGGCGCGCGCGCGACGCCGTCGTACTGCTCCGCAGCACAAAAACTACATAACGGCGCACGCGGCGCTCGCTTCCCGCTGCTGCCTCCGGTCGCGGTCCTTCGCGAGGCGCCGCCAGAGGAGCATGGCCTGCATGAAGTCGTTCTTGTCGAGCGCGCCGTCGCCGTCGCTGTCGCAGGCGCGGACGAGATAGGCCGCGGTCTCGTCGTCGCAGCGCTGGAGCAGCGCGCCCGACTTGCAGCGCTGCTCGCGGACCCTGAAGTTGCCCTTCTCGAGGTCGTTGAGCGCGCGGCGCAGCTCGTCGTGCTCGAGGAGCCCGGACCCGTTGGCGTCGCAGGTCCGCCAGAGCGCGGCGATCTGCGGCGCCAGCGCCGCGTACTTGAGGTAGCGCTGGACGCAGGCCGCGAAGTGCGCGCGCGGAATGAGCTGCTCGGTCGTCGCCGCGTCGACGACGACGGCGACGGCCTCCTGGGGCCGCCGCGGCGCGAGGTCGGAGTCGCCGGTCGAGGGCCGCGGCGGCGACTCCGGCTCGGGCGCCGACTCGGCGACGGCCAGCGCGTCGACGGCGGCCTCGGGCACGGGCGTCGTCGCCGCCAGCGCGAGGGACCGCGCGTGCGCGAAGGCCACGTTGACGCCCTCGCCGTCGACGGGCTCGCCCGGGTATAACACGTCGAGAATTTCGCCGAAGACGGCGCGCGAGCAGCCGAAGGTCCGCTCCGGCGGGCAGCGCCGGTCGAAGACGACGAGCGCGCGCACCTCCTCGACGGCGCGCTTATTTGCGCGCTTGTTGCGCAGGTGGGATTTGCGGATGTTGTGAAAATGGTGGAAGGAGCCCTGGACCGCGGCCATGGGGGGCCTGCGATGGCCGCGCCCGCGCGCGGAACACAGGGGAAGGACGCCAGTCGTGGCGGAGAGGCCGCGCGCCGCCGGGCAGCCTCTGGGGCCAGTGCTTCCTGCAACGTTGACCTAGAACTCGCCGAGCTTCTGCCCCGAGGGGGTTGACCGCCGGTATGCCTGGTAGTATGCGCCCGCTATGCGGGCTTTATGCGGGCTTTATGCGGGCTTTATGCGGGCTTTATGCGGGTGGTATGCGGGTGGTATGCGGGTGGTATGCTGGTGGTATGCTGGTGGTATGCGGGTGGTATGCGTCTGCTATGCCGGTGGTATGCGGCTGCTATGCCGGTGGTATGCGGCTGCTATGCCGGTGGTATGCGGCTGCTATGCTGGTGGTATGCGGCTGCTACGCTGGTGGTATGCTGGTGGGCTGCTATGCTGGTCTTATGCGCCTGCTATGCTGGTGGTATGCGGCTGCTATGCTGGTCTTATGCGGCTGCTATGCTGGTGGTATGCGCCTGCTATGCGCCTGCTATGCGTCTGCTATGCGCCTGCTATGCGCCTGCTATGCGTCTGCTATGCGCCCGCTATGCGTCTGCTATGCGGCTGCTATGCGGCTGCTATGCTGGTGTATGCCGTGGCTGGTGTATGCCTGGTGGTCGGCCCCCTCTGCTTCTGCCCCGGTTGCGCCTAGATGCGGAAGACGCCGTGCGACGAGTGAGCGCGGATCCTTAAGCGAGAGTTGACTTCGCACCGCGCTTCGGCAGGAACGGAAGCAGGTGGACCCACTGTTCGGTCACCAGCGGGACGCACGGGTGCCAGGTGTCCACGTAGAGCGCGCCGATCGGGACGCGCGCCTGGAGGGCGATTTCGAGCGCCGCCTGGTACTCGCCGATGATCTTCGCCGCCGGGAGAACCACGGCGCGCGTATGGCTGGCGAGGAGCATCTCGGACGTGACCCACGCGTCGTGAAGGTCGCGGACGAGGGCGAGGTTCCCGTCGAACGAGCGATCGAGCTGTTTAAGGGTTCTGGGAATTTGGCGGCCCCTCACCCTTACCCTCCCGAGGGTTTCGCGGGTTCTCGGGTCGGCCCCTCGCCCTTGTGTGGCCCTGGCCGGGCGGATGCGCGAGGGCCTTGACGTCGGACGCGTTGCCGGCGAAGAGCTCCGTGCCGCCTACGAGTGATCGTCAAATCGCCTCAAACGATCGACGCCGGCCGCGGGCCCCAGTTCTGCGACTGGCCCTCCGCGAAGGAGCAGATCGTCCGCGTGCGCCAGGCCGTCGCGTCGCCGCCGAAAAGCAGCGGCGCGAGCGACCGCCCGTCCATGATGGGCGGCACGGCGGCGCCCGCGAGGTCGAGCACGGTCGGCGCGATGTCGCTGTTCACGCCCATGACGTCGAGGACCGTCCCCGGCGCGATCCCCGGGCCCCGGATCCAGAACGGGATGCGCACGTCGTGCTCGTAGGGCCACATCTTCTCCATGGACGGCTGCGACGCAAGCGGCTGCCCGACGCACGACTTCAGCGCGTGCGAATGTGAATGAGTGCACAAATCAGATACATTGAAGATCTAACTAGGTTTTAACGATCGACGACGGCCCAAGCAAAAACACCGAGCATCACACCCGAAAACACCCGGACCGAGGGTCACACTGGGCATCACACCAACACACCTGGGCATCACACCTGGGCATCACCCGTCACTACTAAGCCCGGCCCGCGAGCGCCGGGCCGCACGTTGTGGTAGTGGCGGCCCGTGAGCTGGCCCGTTCTCGACGGCGTGCACTTGGGCGACAGCGTCCGGAAGCGGGAGAAGGTCGCGCCTTTGTCGCCGACGAGCGCCTTCGTTCGCGTCATGAGCGACGCGGAGCCGAGGAGCTCGTCCGTGTCGTCCATGAGGATGTAGACGAAGTTGGGCTGGCTCGCGGCTACGGCGAGGATGCAGCCGAGGAGGTTTGTTCGCGGCAGCCCCATCGTCGGCGCGGGGGCGGCAATAAACCTTCAAGATGCCGTCCATCATGTACCTCAACTTTCTGAGGCCATCTTGCGCGAGTTGCTCGTCGAGCACCAGTGGCACCGCGCACCGCGACGCAACGACCATGCGCCACGCCCTGCTCCGCCTGGCCGTCGTGCTCGACTGCGCCGCGGCGCTCTTCCCCTTCCACGCCTTGAAGGGCCGCGTGGACCAGTCGTCCTGGATCACGCAAAAAACGCCAACGGCACCGACGGGGGGCCTCTTCGGCCGGCGCGTCGGCGGCGCGCGCCAGGCGCCGCAGCGCTTCATCACGCCGTCGCCCGCGCCGCGGCCGGCCGCCGAGGCCGACGCGACGAGCGCCGCGACGAGCTCGTGGGTCGCGCTCGCGCTCCTGCGCCAGGAGCTCGACGACATGGGCGTGGCGCAGCACGAGGCGGAGGCGGCGCACACCGCCACACGCCAGGAGCTCGCGACGGCCCTGCGCAATGCGACGGCCCTCGCCGCGGACCTGGCAAAATCTGAGCGGCTCCGGCGGCTCGTGCAGCGAGAGGTGCAGCAGCTGCGGGAAGTGGCTCGCAACGCGACGTCGAAAGCGCTGCGGGCGGAGTCGTCCGCGAAGCGCGCGACGAGCCGGCGGCCCGCGACGCGCGGCGCGGCGATGACGCCGGAGAATCCGACGGCGCCCGGCTGGCTCGACGCGGAGGACGCGCTGTCGCCCGAGGCGCGCGCCGCGCGGCTCCGGGAGCGGAAGCCGCGCGAGGTCGCGGCGCGCCCGGCGGCGACGGAGCCGCCGGGCGCGCTGTCGCCCGAGGCGCGCGTGGCGCGGCTCCGGGAGCGGAAGCCGCGCGAGGTCGCGGCGCGCCCGGCGGCGACGAAGCCGCCGGGCGCGCTGTCGCCCGAGGCGCGCGCCGCGCGGCTCCGGGAGCAGAGCCTGCGGACCCGCGATTCCCAGATCCGCGTGTACAAGAGCGCCGCGCCGCGGCGGCCCGCGGCGATCACGGGAACCTTCCAGCGCGGCATGACCGCCGAGGAGAAGCGCACGCCCCCGCCCGTCCTCGAGTCGCGCCACGCCGCGCCGCCCGCCGCGAAGAAAACGCGGTGGTCGCCGCTCGTCCCGCCGCGCGCCGGGAAGGCCCGCGCCGCAGCGCCGCCCGCTCCGCCCGCTCCGCCCGCGCCGCGGTGGTCGCCGCTCGTCCCGCCGGAAGTCTTCGAGCGCCGCGAGACCGGCGGCGGCGGCGCGGCCCGGCCCTCGGACTCGCCGCCCAAGAAGAAGTCAAAGAAGCTCGCCAGCGGCTCGGCGCTCTACCAGCAGCTGCAGATAGCCGAGATGGAGGCCGCGGCGGAGTTGGAGGCCGTGCGCCGCGTACGCCACCGACTTCGCAGGATGCACTAAGGATACACCGTAGAACTGGAAGCCCGCCGGCCTACTTGTCAACCTGCTGCATCCCCCCCCGGCCGCGCCGGGGCCCCGCGGCATTCTCCGCGCACACACTGGCAAGTTCTCTGGTGGCCGCCTCTAGCGAGCCGCGCGGCGGCGACGCGCGCGCGGCGTCGACGGCGAACGCGGCGGACTCCGCGCGCCTAATCTCTCGTCAGGCGAATGGGTCCGTCGTCGCCCGATGCCGCCTCCGGGCTCTCTTTCAGCACCGCAAAGTACACGACGGCCGCGGCGACGACGAGGCCGAGCAGCACGGCCGGGATCATCATGCCGCCGCCGCCGCCGCCGGACCCCGTGCTAAAGTCTGCGAGCGCGCGCGCGTGCGTCGACGCGCGCGGCGGGCGAGGCGGCGGGCGCGTCGGAGGCGCGAGCGCGGGCGCGGAAGGGAATCGGGAGAAGCAGGGATGCGCGCACCCTTCTTGTTGGATTCGATGCCATACCGAGCCCGGAGCTGCGCGGCGGACAGGTCCGCGTCCGACGCGGAGCCGCCGGCGTGGTAGCGATTTCTCAGCTCCGACGCGGAGAGGCCGTCGTCGGCTCCCATGCTTGATCAACGTTCGCAGGTGCAGGGCTGCCCCGGAGTGCGCCAACGTTGGCTGCTTGACGCGTTACCACGAGCGCTATGGTGGCGAGATAGGGCTGCCTTCCACCATGGGCGGCGGCTTCGACATGCAGAGTCCGAATCCCATCGCCCTCCGGAGCCGCCTCGCGGAGGACGCCTTCGACGCGCCCCTGGCGTCGAAGACCGCGGGCTGCGTCGCCGGCCGCGTGTCCAGCAAGGTGCGCGCGTCCATGGGCCAGGAGCCCATCCGGTCGCGGAGCACGGGCACGCTCCAGGAGCGGTCCCGCGCCTTCGGGTCGTCGGCGCGGTCCGGCGCGCCCCGGGCCGCCGGCGACGACGAGCCTCCCTCGCCGTCGAAGTCGGAGGCCGTCGCGTCGACGCGGCTCATCCGGCGCCAGCACCGCAAGGGGAAGCGCTACGGCAACGACACGCACATGACGAGCCTCAAGTCCCTCGCCCTCAACAGCAACTTTGCCTCGGCGTCGTCGAACGAGACCATGGGCCTCGAGTCCAAGGCCGCGGGGTGCCTCTTACCGCAGCTCGCGGCGACGCCCTTCGCGTTCCGCTACCTGGAGAATCTGGACCTCTCGGGCACGGTCGTCGGCGCGCCGGGCATCAAGGCCCTGAGCCGCTTCCTGGGCTGCGTCGAGGACTGCCACCTGAAGTCGCTGCGCCTCGACAAGTGCGGGCTCAGCGACAAGGTCGCGGCGCTGCTCTTCCGCGGCGTCGAGCGGACGTCCTCGCTCAAGGTGCTGAGCGTGTCGCGGAACCGCGTCGGCGACCTGGGGACGGCGGCCCTGGCCCAGTGCTTCCACACGTCGAAGACGGACCTGAGGGACGTCAACGTGTCGGGCAACAACGTCAACGGCGCGCCGTTCACGGAGCTCTGCGCGGAGCTCAAGCACTGTTTTACATTGACAAGGTTGGACCTGTCCTGGAATTTATTAACCAAGGTCGACATGCTCGAGCGCGTCGGCGGCGAGGCCGCGCCGGCCGCCGTGGCGTTGTCGTACGCGCTCGAGCACAACCGCGTGCTCCAGGCCCTCAACCTCAACAACTGCGGCCTCGACGCCGCCGCCGTGGAGACTTTAGCCGGGGGGCTCAAGCAGAACACGTCCCTGCTGGCGCTGCGGGCCACGGAGGGCAACTGCGGCCGCACAGACCCCAAAATGTTCCTCGAGGTCGCGGAGCCGCACGGCGGCGGGCTGCTGGGCCTCCCGCGGGGCATCGCCAAGGCGGAGGGCAAGGACGCGGCCAAGGGCCACTGCTGGGCCGACGCCTACGACGAGGTGCGCTTCACCTTCGCCGTCGGCGCGTCGGGCGCGTACGTGTCGACGCGGCCGCTCTTCCTCCACCTCGAGTGCGACGAGTGGCGCGGCGACGAGATGAAGCCCGAGATCTGGAAGGAGGGCGGCGACGCGGCCGCGCGCCACGAGACCGTGCGGCGGCACGCGGCCCACGAGTCCTTCAAGGAGAAGGGCAAGGAGCGGCGGAGCACGCGGCGCCGGAGCGAGCGCATGGTCTGCAAGATCACGGGCGCGACGATCTACCGCGTGCTGCCGCCGGGGCGCCACTGGTACTTCTTCAGCCAGGACGGCCGCGTGCTCTGCGCCGACGACCACGCGCTCGGCACGCACCCCCGGTACAAGGAGCGGCGGAACGTCGTCGACGTCGCACCGCGGCGCAGGCCCATCAAGCTCACGGACCTGACGGGCACGCGGCCCCGGAGCCAGGACTGGACCGATTTCCCCTACCTGGCGACGATGATCCGGAGCCCCCACGCCTGGACGCTGACGTCGTCGTTTTTAGGATCCACGCGGCGCCTCGACGACGAGGAGAAGAGCGAGATCAACCGCCTCGGCACGGAGATCGCGAAGATCAACCGCGCGCACAACACGGCCCACGTCGGCGAGCGGTGCCAGACGGCGACGGCGCCCCAGAACGACCGGGCCTACGCGGAGTACGAGCTCTTTGACGTGCCGGGCCGCGCGCGCGCGGCCGCGGCGGAGGACTGGGCGGACATGAAGCTCATCAAGCTCCGCCTCATCCCGGAGACGGACGCGCCCGTCGCCCTCGAGGGGCTCACGGAGCACTACGTCCTGCTGGCGGCGCTCTTCCTCCACCTGTGCTGCACGGAGGACGCGGAGCACAACGCGACGTTCGAGACGTCCGTGACCTTCGACGACTTCCTCAAGCTCGGCGTCGACTGCGGCCTCGTCCGCGAGCCGCGCAACGACATCTACAAGCCCGACCCGGCCTTCGACGAGGACGACGACGACGACGACGACGACGACGACGACGAGTTCGACGTCGACAGGCCCCTCGCGAAGATGGGCGCGTCCGGCGGCGTTCCGCAGAAGCAGGGCCCGTCGGGCGGCTTCCTGCAGAAGCAGGGCTCGAGGCCCGCGCTGGTGAAGCAGGCGAGCTCGCGCCTCGCGCCCGAGGAGCCCAGGGTGCGCAAGGCGACCTTCGGCCGGCGGACGCAGTTCGCGGCGCCGCGCGGCCCGCCGGCGCCGCTCGCGGCCGCGGCGCGCGCGCGGCACCCGTCCTTGGTCCGCGAGGCCGCGGGCGGCCGCCGGTCGCTCCGGGGTCCCCTGGGCGACCCGAGCCGGCGCAAGTCGCTGGGCATCGACCACCAGTCCATGCCCGTCACGGAGCAGCAGCTCCGCGAGCTCTTCTATATCGTCAACGTCGACTTCAAGGACACGTTCAACGCGAACGAGTCGCGAAAAAACGACAAGAACGTGCTGGACCGCGGCGAGTTCATCGAATTGTTGACGCGCCTCGCGCTGCTGCGCTACGCGGACCCGAAGGAGCCCGACGGCAAGGCGCTGCCCGAGGCGCTCGCGCTGCTCGTCGCGAACCACGTCGGCCCCTACATCAAGGCCGTCGCGGAGCTCAACGCGCCGGAGCTCGCGCCCGGCGCGGCGTCGCCGGAGTTGATCGGCAACAACGACGCCTTCCGGCGCGAGCTCTTCTACACGGAGAAGGTCGACGCCAGGGCAGCAAAAGAGAGCGAAATTCCCAACTTCAAAGGCTCCGATCTCGGCCATTTTCCACTCGTTTCGGCTGATTTTTGGACGAGCGATCATCTCTCGGAACGGTCTCGAAGCGTGGATGCTGTTTCCGGAACGCGCGCGCGCGGAACACTCACGTTGAAGCGACGTCGAACCACCCTTTTGCTGCCCAGGTCGACGCGGTCTTCGCGACGTACGAGCCCGAGCTGAGGCGCATGTTCCAGGAGCACTGCTACGGCTTCGTGCCCGAGGACCACCCGAAGCACCCGTCGAAGAAGAAGAGGGGCGCCGCGGCGCCGCCCCTCGACATGTTCGGGCCCCGGGCGAAGGGCGAGGACGACGACGGCGAGGACAACGCGTCCGCGGTGCCGCGGCTCGCGTTCCGCGACTACCTCGAGCTCATGTCGCGGAGCGGCATCTTCGAGATGCGCTACCTGAAGCGGGACCGGGAGAACCCGCGGGACGGCGTCGGGCGGGGGCGCCTGACCATGTACGAGATGCTCGCGGACGTCGCGAAGAGCCGGCTGCTGCCCATCGACGACCACGTGGCCATGGCGGAGAACCACGATTTGGCGTTTGGCGATTTCTTGGAGGCCGTGGGCCGCGCGATCTGGCGGCTGCAGCTGCTGGACGTCGACGGCGACTCCATGCACTACCACGAGCGCCTCGACAAGTTTTTGCGGAACCTGCGGTCGGAGCTCTACTTCACGGACGGCCACGGCGAGCTCCGCGCGCGCTACGTGCGGGGCAAGCTCCCGGCGACGCCCGCGTCGGAGGCGCGGCCCCTCGTGGACCCGGCGGAGCTCCGCGCGACGCGCGCGGGGCCCCAGACCGTCGTCGCGTGCGCGGGCGGCGCGGCGCGCATCGGCCTCAAGCTCAAGAACCTGGGCAAGAAGTTCCACGTGGAGCACCACGACATCACGGCGACGCAGATGGTCAAGTTCGGCCACAAGCTCAAGAAGATCGCGAAGCGCCACAAGAAGTCCGTCGACGCGGGCGCCGTCGAGCCCCAAAAGGCCGACGCGGCGAAGAACCCCTACGCGCTCGCCTCCGCGAAGAGCGCGCGGTCGTTGTTCGCGCCCGTCATGTCCGCCGAGGAGATCCGCAAGGCGAAGCCCCGCGTCGACAAGTCGAAGAAGCCCAAGCCCAACGCCATGCTCGCGGCGTTCGTACGGCAGAATACCGAACCTTTGGAAGCCCTGGCCAAGTCCATCACGGTCTACGAGGAGCCCATCGCCGAGGCGCCGTCCTACCCCTCGACGCAGGCCGCGGGCGGCTACGCGCCCCCCGACGACTACGCCGACGACTTCGAAGCGTCGCCGGCGCGGGCCAAGGTCGAGGAGCTGGAGAGCATCCAGGACGAGAAGCGGAAGGTCGCCGACGAGATCGAGGCGCTCAAGGCGCAGATCGCGCGCGAGCAGGCCAAGGAGCGCGCCGCCGCCGACGACGACGCCTACGACGACGACTTCGAGGAGGAGAAGGGGCGACGGCCGGCCGTCGACGTCGGCGACGCGTACGCGGACGACGCGTTCGACGACGACGCGGCCTCGCCGCCGCCGCGGCGCCGCGGCGCCGAGCGGTCCGCGGCCTTCGACGAGCCCGAGAGCGACTCCTTCGACGAAGAGGAGGGGCCCGCGACGTAAGGAGGGGTGCTGAGGTGCGCGTTTTGCAGTGGAGTTGCAGGACGTGTCCCAGGTTGAACCTCTTCGCGGCCCCTTCGTCTGTGCATCGAGATTGAGGCCATCGTGATCGATCGAGGCCATCGTCATGCTCGCCCAGCTCCTCGTAGCAACCTTCGCCGTCGCCGCGCAGGCCTTCGCGCCTCACGGCGCCACGCGCGCGACCATCGCGTTGCGCGCCGTCGTGGCGGAGACGATGCCGGAGTCGCTCGCGGACGTCGGCTGCGACGAAGCGCTCTGGAAGGGCCTGCCTTTCGGCGCGAAGAAGGACCTGACGCGCTTCGCGGCGGACCCTGACCTCACGGACTACGCGGCGGCGCGCATCGAGACCATGAAGGCCGTCCGGGAGCACCTGAACCCGGACTTCCTCGACGCCGACTGGGACGAGGCGTCGTGGAACGAGGCAGTCAAGGCCCGCGAGGCCGTGTCCAACGCCGAGGCCGCCGTCGCGACCAAGAAGGCGAAGGAGTCGACGGCGGCCGACCTCGACGCGCAGTTCAAAGCCGACTCCTAGGCGCCGCGCGGTAAGCCGAGATTCGTGTGACGAGCGGCCGGGACCCGTCGTGCTCGATCGAGGGAGAGTTGCCTGCCGGCACTGGGGCCCAGCAGCAGCCCTCGTGCCGCGTCGGGAATCGGGCAGAGTCCGTCTTGCTTGGCGCGGCAGGTCGAGGCACTATCGCGGCAACATGTGGCTCAACGAAAAGATCTCAGCGAGGCAGCGCCGGCCTGCACGCGCCATGAGCTGAGCCAATGTCGAGGCTTTGCGACCTGCAAGTTGTGCGAGGCATCGATCGAGGTCTCAGTGCAAAGCGCGAGTGCAACGATTGCGAACAGCTTACATAAAACATCTGCTGCATCGCAGCCATGCTCACCAAGCTCCTCGTCGTCGCCGCGGCCGTGCATGGGTTCGCTCCTTCGCAGCGATGCGCCCGCCGGTCCGCCTTGCGCGCCGTGCCGCCGATGCCGGCGGAGCTGACGGACTTCGGCTGCGACGAGACGCTCTGGAAGGGCCTGCCGCTGGGCGCGCACAGGGACCTCGCGCGCTTCGTCGAGACCGGCAAGCCGGACCTCGCGAAGGCGCGCGTCGAGAGCATGAAATTCGTCCGCGAGTACCTGAACCCGGACTATTTGGACGCCGAGTGGGACGAGGCGTCCTGGAACGAGGCCGTGCAGACCTCCGAGAAGGTCGCGGAGGCCCAGGCGGCCATCGCGAAGAAGGAGGCCAAGGCCGCGAAGCTGGCCGCGGCCAAGGCGAAGAACGCGGCCGAGAAAGCCGCCAAGGAGGCCGAGGCCGCCGCGCCGGCGAAGGAGGCGGCGCCCGACGTCGCCGCTGCCACGCCGGCAGGCCCAGAAACAGCGGCGACGACGGCGAAGTGGGCCTGGAGCGGGCCCGTCTTCGATTAGCGGGCGCGAGTAAACCCGAGCCGACGGGCGTAGATTACGCGGGAGGCGTCGTCGCGCCGACCCCGAGCGGGAGTAGATGCAATCGACACGCGTCTTACGCGGCGCGGCCGAGCGTGTCCGCGGGCTCGCTCCGCCCCAGGGCGATGCGCCCGCCGGCGACGGGGTTCGGCGGCGCCGCCTCGCCCCACCAGGCCGTGCCCGCCTTGAGGTCGGCGCCCATGGCGTCGAGGAGCCGCAGGTGGTCGCCGAGGGGCGCGAGCGCGTTGGCCACGAGGATGCCCGACGCCGCGGCCGCGGGCACGCCGATGCCGGGAAAGTTCGAGTCGCCGACGGTGTAGAGCCCGTCCACGGGCGTGAGCCCGTTCGCCAACCCGGAAACGCCCGACGGGCCGTAGGAGCCGCGGTGCCGCCGGAGGAAGTCGCGGTGCGTGAGGGGCGTGCCGACGACGACCATCTCGCTCCGTTTCCGAATATCCGGCACGACGGCCTCGAGCGCGCGCCACAGGGGCTCCGCGGCGGCCTCCTTCTTCGCTTTATACTCTTGGCTCGTCCGGTCCAGGTGCTCCCAGGCCTCGAAGGGCTCGTGCGCCGCCGCGTAGCAGTGCGCCACGTGCTTCCCCTCCGGCGAGAGGGCCGCGTCGAAGAGCGACGGGATCGAGATGATGTACATGTTCTCCCGCGCGTCGATGGCCGCCGCGTCGTCGCCGAGGAAGCCCTCGTTGAACACCGTGTGGTGCACGTCGAGGTCGGCGGGGATGTCGGCGCCGTCGAAGCCGACCCAGAGGTGCACGAACGACGGCGTCGGCGCCACGTCCCGCTCCGTCGCCGCCCGCCAGGCCGGGGCGACGCGCGCCGGCAGCAGCTTCACCGTGTTCCAGATGTCCGCGTTGGACACGACGCGGCGAGCTCTCACCTCCGATCCGTCGCGGAGCCGCACGCCGCGCGCTTCGTTCCCCTCGACGAGGATCTCCGCGACGTGGGCCCGCGTGCGCACCTCCGAGCCGGCCTTCGCGATGCTCGCCGCCAGCGCCTCGGCGACGGCGCCCGAGCCGCCGACGGGGTAGTCGAGGAACGCGCCCGGCCGGTGCAGGTCGCCGAGCGTGTAGGCGACGGCCGCGCCGACGGTGTCGTCCGCGGGGCGGCCGCTCAGCGCGAAGGCGAGGTAGTCGAGCCACTTGAGGACGAAGGCGTCGTCGACGTCCGCGAGGTCCGCGAGGGCCGCCGCGGGGCCCGTGAGCAGGTCCGGCATGAACGCGCGCGCGCGGACGCTCGTCGACGCGATCGCCGGGAGCAGGTACGGCCCCAGCGCCGTCCGCAGGAAGCCCAGCGGGTCGGCGCGCAGGGCCATGGGCGGGCAGGCCATGGACGCGTCGACGACGGGCTCGATGGCCGCCAGCAGGCGCCGCCACTGGCCGACGTCGCCGTACTGTCGCACGACGGCCTCGAAGGCCTCGGGCCCGACGGACATGCGGAAGGCCTCGCCGGCCCGGAGGTCGTGGACGCCCCAGCCGTCGTAGGTCACCCAGTCCACCTCCGCGCCGACGGCGTCCATGACCTGGCGCAGCGGCGACGTCGACGGCACGCTGCAGCCCGCCCAGAGGCTCGGGCCGCTGTCGAGCGTGTACGCGCCGCGTCTGAAGCCGTGCGCGCAGCCGCCGACGTGCTCGTGCGACTCCAGCACGACGACGCGCTGGCCGTAGTGGGCCAGCAGCGCGCCGCAGCAGAGGCCGCCGAACCCGCTGCCGATGATGACCGCGTCGTAGGCCTCATCCGTCGCGGCGGCGCGGCGCGGCGCCGAGCGGCGCGCGGCGGAGCGCGGCGCGCTGCGCGGCGCGAAGCTCGACGCGCGCAGCGCGCAGAGCAGCAGCGCGAGGAGCTGCCATCGAGCACCCCGCAACTGAGATGACGCGGCGGCCATGCTCTCAGCGGCGCGATCACTTCAGGAGCAATCAAGATGAAGTCAACAACTCGAGGCTTAGTGCGCTTCCTGATGGGCAGCCCTTGGCCACCGTGTTGATGAACGCGATGAGTATTCTGGGCAGCCTTTTCGCCCTCCTGGCGGGCATCGTCGGCGGCGACCCGGCCGGGTGCCTCGTCTACCTGCACCAGAACAAAGCAGGCGGCACGACCATGAAGGCCGTGCTGCGCGAGAAGCTGCGCCCGCCGGTGGCCGGCGCGCGCCGCGGGCGCTTCGGCCAGTGCGCCTACGGCGAGTACCGCACCAACGGCTGCTGGCCGCCCAAGTACTGGAGCGGCGCCGGCGGCGTCGAGCGCTGGGTCTTCTACGGCGACGCCGTCATGGGGATGTTGGGCGCCGGCTGGCTCGGCTCCGTCCGCGGCGGCTCGCGCTGCCGCGCGTTCACGCTCTTCCGCGAGCCGACGGCGCGGCTCGTGTCCGCCTGGGGCTTCTGCAAGCGCGCGCGGAGCGACGAGCTCTGCGGGACCAAGGCGCTCGACGCGCGCAACGCGACGCTGCGCCAGTGGGCCAGGCACTGGCGCCACTTCGCGACGACGCAGCTCGACCTCGCGCCCGGCCGGCGGCCGGACCGGCGCCGGCTCGAAGCGGCCTACGACGACGACGACGAGGGCGCGGCGTTTCATACGGACGCGGTCTGGGTCGCGCGGCGCGACGCGCGCGGCGACGCCGCGAACGACGCCGCGGCCGCGCGGCTCGCGGCGCGCGTCGCCGCCGGGTCCCTCTTCGCCTTCGTGGGCGTCCTCGAGCGCGCCGAGGACACGGCCAAGAGCTGGGACACTTACATGCCCCTGCGGGACGGGTCTTCCTGGCGCGACGCCTTCGCCTGTGTGGAAATCAACCAGTGGAACGCCCTGTCCAGCAAAAACTTCATACCTCTCTATCTCGATCAAATCGAAGTCGATTCGGCTGATTTTTGGACGAATCGATTGCTCTCGTCGAGTTCTCGAAGCAAAGTTGAAGAGCTTGCGTCGAAACTTTCAAATACGCTCAAATTGAAGTCGGGTTGAAGATTTGATTTCCACACAGGCCTTCGCGGGCAAGAGGCACAACGCCGACCCCGGCGCGCGCGCGTCGCCCGAGCCGGACGCGCGGCGCGACGCGGAGGTCCAGCGCTACCTCGCCGCCGACTACGCCCTCTACCGGGCGGCGAACGCCGCCCTCGATCGCCAGCTGTCGCGATGACGGTGAAGCGCCGCGCGTCGACTCGCGAAGAAGCATAAAAAGCGACGGTTCTTAAGACCGGGTCGCTCACTCGTACTCCTTGTAGGCGGCGACGGCGCAGTGCATCTTCGAGGACGGGTCGAGGAGCATCTTCATGTCCGCGCCCGACTTGCGGCCGTGCTCCGCTAGGAGGGTCGCGAGGCTCTTGAGGTACTGGTGCTTCGTGAACTCGCCGTACTCGCCGTTGGCCGTCGTCCGCTGGAGGCAGTCGGCCTTGCTGTTGTTGTAGGGCGACCAGTTGGGGATGCCGTAGCCGTAGTCGCGCATCTTCTGCTTGCCGAGCTGCGGCGCGTCGGCGACGACGGCCGGCGCGCTCTTGGGCCGCGGCCGCCGCGTCACGTTCGACGCCCAGACCTCGGGCGCGTCGGGCGCCTCGCGGCTCATGGGCCGCGACGACACGGGCGCGTCGCGGGCCGGCGCCGCGGGCGCCGCGCGCGACGGCTTCCGCGGCCGCGACTTGGCGCTCCTCGGCCGCCGGCACTTCTCGCCGCTGCGCCAGCGCTTCGTCGAGTCGCTGTAGTGGCGCCGGTTCGCGTAGAGCCGCTCCGACGCCGCGGCGGCGGCCTCCTCCGTGGGCGTCGGCTCGCGCGTCCGCTCGTAGTAGGGCGTCTTGGCGTACATGGGGCTCGGAGCGCCCCAGGCGTTGTACGGCGTGCGCTGGCGCGTCTGGCGCAGCGTCGAGCTCCAGGGCGTCTGGCCCCACTCGGGGCAGTACATGGCTGCGGTTTTTCTACTGCTCTTGTGTGTGGTGTGCGCGACGCACCTCCCGGAACCGACGCTATGCGTGAGATGCTCTGCGGGCGCGCTGTAACTTACAGCCCTCGATCATGCCTTTTTGCATATCGGCAACATCGTCAAGGTGCAGTTCTCGATTTTGCGATGATCGTCGACTTGAAGCGTTTGCACACATAAGCAAGAGCCATGGCATTCGTGAATCGCGTGCATCAATTGCTCGTCGCAGCGCTGCTCGTTGCAGAGCCGACGAATGCCTTGCATGAAAAATTTCCGGCGCGGTCGTCGTTGCGCGCGCGCGACGCAGCAACTCGCAGTCTGCGCATGTCCCTCGACGACGAGCCGCCGCGCGCCGCCGGCGCCGGCCGCCGGCCACTAGTACCATCCCTCGACGCCGAGCCGCCGCGCGCCGCCGGCACCGGCCGCCGGCCACTCTTGAAATCCCTCGCCGCCGCGAGCGCCGCGTCGCTCGCCGCGCCGGCGGCCGCGGCGCTCGGCCCCGAGAGCGAGTACCCGCTCTGGCTCGCGCTGCCCGTCGCGCCGTACTCGCGGCGGAAGACGATCCGCAGGGACCTGGGCCGCGGCGTCTGGACCTTCGACCAGATGATCGGCATCTACTACGTCCACGTGCCCATCCGCATGACCGTCGTCAAGCTGCGGCGGGGCGGCCTCTTCGTCTACGCGCCCGTCGCGGCCACGGACGAGTGCCTCGCGCTCCTCAAGGAGCTCACGGACGCGCACGGCCCCGTGAAGCACATCGTGCTCCCGTCCGTCGCCGTCGAGCACAAGGTCCTCGCCGGGCCCAGGGCAGCAAAAGGGTGATTCAACGTCGCTTCAACGTGAGTGTTCCGCGCGCGCGCGTTTCGGAAAAAGCACCTATGCTTCGAGAGCGCTCCGAGAGATGATCGCTCGTCCAAAAATCAGCCGAAACGAGTGGAAAACGGCCGAGATATGAGCCTTTGAAGTTGGGAATTTCGCACCCTTTTGCTGCCCAGGCCGGGCCCTTCGCGCGGAAGTTCCCCGCCGCGACGTTCCACGTCTGCGACCAGCAGTACTCCTTCCCGGTGCCGCTGCCGAACGCGTTCCTGGGCCTGCCGCCCTGGACCCAGCCGCTGCCGCGGAGCTCGAAGGACGGGAACCCCTTCGGCGACGACTTCGACTTCGACGTGCTGACGGTGAAGCCGGGCCCCGGCAGCTACTACCAGGACGCGACGTTCGTGCACAAGCCGTCGAAGACGCTCCTCCTCTGCGACGCGCTCTTCGCGACGACGGAGGCGCCGCCGCCGATCCTCGAGTCGGACCCGGAGTACGTGCGCGCGCTCCTCTTCCACGCGCGCGACGGCCCGCTGGAGCGCGTCGCGGACACGCCCGAGAACCGGCGGAAGGGCTGGCGGCGCATCGTGCTCCTCTTCAACTTCTTCTTCCCCGGCGCCGCGACGCCGGACCTCGGCCTGAAGCCCCTGCTCGCGCTCGGGCCCTTCGAGCCCTACGGGTGGCGCGGCTGGAAGCCCTTCGAGTGGAAGAGCGAGGCCAAGGAGCGGCGCGCCTTCGAGGCCTTCGCCCAGAACGGGAAGCCGACGATCCTCCCGATCATCCAGATCATCCTCGCGCGCGGCGACTCCGGCGCGGCGACGGCCGCGTGGGTCTCGCGCGTCTCGACGTGGGCCTTCGACCGCGTCGTCCCGCAGCACCTGGACGCGCCCGTCGACGTCGGGCCCGCGGGCTTCGCGGCGACCTTCGCGAACGTCGGGAACACGCGCTTCTGCGACGAGGACGTCGCCTTCCTCAAGGTCGCGGAGGAGGGGCCGCTCAAGTTCTCCGTCTACCCGTCGACGCTCACGCCGCTCCGCGGCCGGGGCAAGTGCGACCTGAACGAGGGGCTGTTCACGTAAGTGCTCACGGCGTCGCGAGCTCGAGCGCCGACCTCGAACGGCATCATCGAGGGCGGTGCGGTCCTTGAACTCTCTCGATCAAGCTTGCCAGAGCGTCGACGTACACGCCGAGCAGCGACGCGCACCGACGCGCAGCACACCCGTTTCGACGCGCGCGCGCCGCCTCCAGCCTACAACGATGCCGTACAAGGCGGCGGCCGGCCGCGTGAGCCCGAAGGGCGTCGCCCTGAACCTCACGACGACGCTCATGTTCATCACGCCGATCCTGCTGACGACCGTCGGCCTCCACCTCTGGACCCACCTCTGGAAGGCCAACGTCGTCGCACTCTTCCTCACGCTGATCACGCCGCCCTGGGGCTGGAAGAAGCCGCACCCGCGCGGCGCCCGCGTCCCGCCGAATCGAATCCGCCGCTTCGGCCGCGACCGCGCCGGCCGCCGACCCCTCGGGCGCGACGCGCGCGCCGTGCGCGATCCGTGCCTCACACGATCGCGCGTCGCAGGTACTCGGACCAGCCGCACCTGAGGTCCCCGCCCGCGGACTCGTACAAAGCGCGGTAACCGCGCGGCGCCGCGTCTTTAAAGCGAGCTTCTTAGAACCGCGCCTACTCGTCGTCGCTCTCCATGTCGTCGTCGTCGTCGTCGTCGTCGCCGTCGTCGTCGTCGTCGTGGCGCTGCTTGAGCGCCTTGACCTTGCGGGTCTGGATCTCGGCCGTGTTCTGCTTGCCGAGGTGGATGCGGCCGACGGTGTCGCCGAGGTCCGTCGTCTTGATGTTCTTCTTCTTCTTGGGCTTGAGCTCCTTGGGCTGCTTGAGCGCGACCTTCCAGAGCTCGAGCGACGGCTTGTGGTCGCGCCGGAGCTCGAGGACGAGCGGCGGGCCCGAGGGGTCGAGGTTCGCCGCGGGGACCGTCGTGCCGCTCTTCGTCAGGCGCAGGCGGTGCGGCGCGACGTCGACGAGGCGCGCGCCCGTCGACGCGCAGCGCCGGATGCCCACCGCGAGCACGTGGTCTAAACCCGCCAGGTTCACGTCGTCGACGTCCGCGCCCCGGAGCAGGTCGCAGAGGAAGTTCTTGCAGCGCTTCGTCTCGTCGCAGTCGTCCCACTCGCCGACGAAGCTCAGCAGGGGCTTGCTGCCCACGAGCTTCGCGTAGCCGTGGCCACCGCCGGCCTCGACGACGCCGAACTCGAACATGTCGAGCAGGTGGCCGTCGTGCGTGCGCCCGAAGACGAGGTTGTGGGGCCGCTTCTTGCTGTGGCTCCCGACGACGAAGAGGGAGCAGTCGTGCCGCGCCGCGAGGCCCTCGACCGCCGTCGCGTCCTCGAACGGCCGGAGGTCCTCGCGGCGCCGGCTCAGCGCCTTGCAGAAGGGGCTCTTGAGCGCGGCGAGCGTCTGGAGCGCCGACGACGTGCGCTCGCTCGTCTTCGAGCCCCGGAGCGCCAGCAGCTTCTTCGGGTTCTCCCGCAGCTTCGGCGCCCGGTCCTCGAGGAAGCGCTTCCCCGCGGGCGTCACGCGCTGGCCCTTGAAGGACGTCGACTTCGCCTTCTTGCCCATGTTTCCGCGCGCGGCGTCCGGCGCGGTTCTGGCGGCGCGCGCGCGTCGGGCACTGGTTGCTGTCGGAGGCGACGCGCGGCTCGAGACCTCGAACAACACGGAGCTCGACGATCGCCGGTTGTGGCTGCGGCTCGTGAAGTGCTCGACCTGCACGTTGAAGCTGCGCAGGCCCTAGGCCTTGGACGTCGTCGTCGGCAAGTGCTCTCGCCCCCCCGCCCCCTTCACCCACGCAAGCAGGCGCGCCTTACGCGGCGCGAAGCCGCCTCCCCTAGGCGCCTTCCGTGGCGTTCTCCATGACCGGGAGCACCGTCAGGCGGAGGTACGTGTGCGCGAGGGGCACGAGGTCCACGTCGACGACGGACCCGTTGGCGTACTTGCTCTGGACGGGCGAGTCCGGGACGTAGCCCTTGTCGTAGGATTTCACGCCCGTCGTCACCTTGGCCTTGGCGGTGATCGTCGCCGGCGGGCGGTCGCGGTCGAAGGGCAGCCCGTCCGTCAGGGCCTCGAAACCGCCGAAGGTCAGCGACGCCGCGTCCGTCGGGTCGACGAGCGCGATCTGCCAGGGCGCGCCCGCGTCGACCATGACGAAGGTCGTCTCGACGAACGTGCCGTTGAGGGACGTCGTGTTCCGGCGGCCGGGCACGGGGAACGAGAACAACAGCGGCCCGCGGGTAATTTCCACCGCGTTCTTCGGCGCCGTCCACTTGTCCTCGAGCACCTTGATGGAGTGGGTGAAGAGCAGCGTCGCCTCGAAGGACGCGTCGTCGGCGGCCAGGCCCGGCACGTCGAAGAGGGCGCAGGGCGGCGCGTCGACCGTCGCGCCGCCGGCGACGACGAGCGCCGCGGCGTCGGCCCAGCACGGCACGCGGAGCCTGAGCTTCCAGGCCTTGCCCGGCGTCCGCGCCACGGAGATCGTCGCGTTGTCGGCGAAGGGGTACTGGCCGCCCACGGACACGTTCGCCGTCGGCAGCGTCGCCGCGAACGGCGAGTAGCCCGAGACGACGATCGTCGCGCCGCCGTCCGCGGTCTGAAGCTGGGCCATGACGAACTTGGGCCAGCCCTGGTGCACGTTGCCCGTGCAGCAGCCGTTCATGCCTACGAAGCACGTCGGTGACGATGTTTCGTCGTTTCCCCGGTCGAAATCTCTCGAATATCGTCGCGCTGGTTCGTGCCGTAGCCCGACTTGCCGCCGAGCTGGATCTGGTTCACGGAGTGGTAGTACGCGTTGCCCGTGAAGCGGTCGTTCGTCGTCGCGGGCATCGCGTTGAACGCGACCCACTCGAGGCGGTCGAAGAGGCGCACGTCGGCGTTGAGCTCGTAGGACGTGCGCAGCGAGTACATGGCCTCGACGACGGAGCAGGTCTCGACGCCGTTCGTCGGGAGGTTCGGGAGCTGCGCGAAGCAGTCCGGCGCGGTGAACGTGCCGTCCGCGGACCGCTCCCACTCGTCGATCCAGGCCAGCGCCGTCGCGGCGTTGCCCAGGTCCGTGGCGTTGCCGGAGACGCGGTACCAGGTCGGCCCCGTCTTGATGGCCTCCATGATGTTGACGCCGTGGTGGATCATGAAGTTCTTTTCGGTGGCGTCGCTCTTGTTCGGCCAGCAGTGGACGTCGCTCGGCGGGTGGAAGGGGTCGCCGCCCGTGAAGTAGTCCTCCCAGGGCAGGCGCGCGTCGGCCTGGGTCCGCACGAGGTCCATCAGGGACCAGAGCTCGCTGTCGTTGCGCCCGCGGTCGATGAGCCACTGGCACGAGATGAGGATCTCGTCGTAGCGCGCGTAGCCCCAGGGGTTGTGCGTGAACTTGGGCTGCTCGTCCTTGATCTGGGCCTCCATGGCCTTGTGGTGCACGACGAGGGCGTCGACGACGGCCTCTTGGGCCGTCGCGTTGGGCGCGTAGGGGCCCTCGCACTCCGCGTAGCTCTGCAAGGCGAGCGCGATGATCATGCGGCCCCAGTAGTTCTCGTTCTGGTCGTAGTCGACGTCGCGGGGGATGTCGCCGCCGAGCATGCCCGTCGAGCCCACGGCGCCCAGGATCTTGGTGATCGCGGCCTCGCGGAGGTCGCGCATGGCCGCGCTGTCGACCTGGCACGTGAGCGGCACGAAGCCGTTCATGAAGTACTCGCCGCCCTGCTCCTCGCCGCCCGTCTTTTTCGGGTCCGCGAGCCACTTGGACGCGCTGATGCCGCCGCCGGACCAGAAGCCCAGGCCGAAGGTGCTGCCCGCGGCCATGAGCTCCTCCTCGGCCTTGAGCCAGCCCGCGGGCATGATGCGGCCCACGGGCAGCCGGTCCAGCGCCGGGGCGACGAGCTGGGCCGATGCGGTGGCGAGGAGCGCGAGGGCCGCGGCGAGCTTCATCGTCGAGCGAGCGGGGCTGCCGCCGTCGAGGGGAGTGCGCTTGTCAACACACTGGACCAGAAGCGCCCCGAAGGAAGGCCTCGGGGCCCAAGAAGGGGTTCCTTTGGCCTCAAGAACGACAAAAAGCACCGCGCTCACACACGTGCTCACTCCTAGGCTAGAGCTCTAGTTCTTGCGATACACCAGGCCTTTCTCGAGGTACGGCGCCTCGCGGCTACTTATTTTCTAGACACCTAGAGGTACAACTTGCTCATATGGTGCCTACTTCTTCTGCTTGCACTTGTCGTTCTTCCACTTGCAGCCGGCCTCTTTGCACGAGTTCTTGCTCGTGTTGTCCTTGCACGACCCGTCGCCGACGGTGAGGCCGCCGGTGTCGCCGCCCTTGGTCTTGCACTCGTCGTTCTTCCACTTGCAGCCGTCGGTCTTCTTGCACTTTTTCTTCGACAGTCCGGAGCACGACGAGGCGGCGCTGCACTGCTTCTTCTTGTAGTCGCAGCCGTCGGTCTTCTTGCACTTTTTCTTCGACAGCTCGGAGCACGAGATGCACGTCTTCTTCTTGTAGGCGCAGCCTGCGGTCTTCTTGCATTTCTTCCTGGCGAGTCCCGAGCACGCGTCGCCGCCGTCGCCGTCGTCCGCCGTGATGTCGCAGGACGGGCACTGCGAGCACAAGGACTCGCCGACCATGTCGATGACCTCCTGGCACGTCCAGCCCCAGTCGGTGATGATGTCCTCGCAGGACCTGTAGCTCGCGTCGCCTTCGGCGTCCTCGTTGCTGATCGTCGCGGGGCAGTAGCCGCACGCCTTCGCCTTTTTGTTCCACACGCACGAGCCCTTGCAAGTCTTTTTGCTCGTGAAGCCCGCGCAGGCGTCCTCGTCCGTCGTCGTCGTCGTCGTCGTCGCACTTAGAAAAAAGCGACGACGATCGCGGCGAGTAGCGCGGCCGGCGCCGCGACGGGGACGCGAGCGGCGTCGCTGGGTTCGGGCTCCGATTCGGACGCCGGCGTCGCGCCCTCGGTCGTCGTCGTCGTCGTCGTGCTCGTCGCGCCCTCGGTCGTCGTCGTCGTCGTCGGGCTCGTCGCGCCCCGAGTCGTCGTCGTCGACGTCGGTCTCGTCACGGTGATGGCGATCTTCTGGCCGTTGAGGCAGTGGTCGGAGATGCTGCAGATGAAGTAGATGGGCGAGCCGTAACCCGGAGACCAATCGATCTCCGCGAGCGACGACGCCTGCGTGATCGTGTACGGTGACTCGTCCTTGGCGCCGGGCATGAGAGCGTCATCCGCGAGGCAACGGTCGAACTCGTCTTTCGTGAGCACCACGCGGACGTTGTGGTTGCCGCCCCACTGGAAGGTGATCGATTCGTCGCCGCACACGGTCAGAGCCTGCTCCGAGGGGCCCATGCCTTCCCTCCAGTCGATGACGGCGGAGCCGCTCGCGCAGCTCGGAGTCGCCGTCGTCGTCGTCGGGCTACCCTGAGTCGTCGTGGAGGTCGTCGGCGGCCGGGTCGGCGTGGAGGTCGTCGGCGGCCGAGTCGTCGTCGACGTCGGGCTCGCCGCGCAGGATCGCGCGTCGGCCGCGTCGGCCCAGCCGGGCGGCGCCGGCGCCGCCGGCGGCGCGGCGAACCGCGCGAGGACGTCGTCGATCGTCGCCGTCGCGAGCCAGGCGTCGGCGGCCGCGAAGATGTCGTCGACTTTCTCGTCGCCCGTCCAGTCCGTGACCGCCTTGCGCCAGCCGGCGCCCTCGGGGACCGCCGACGGCCAGTCGTCGACGTGGTCGATGTCGGCGTAGGGCGCGCGCGCGAGGTAGGGACCCGTCGGCCCGGCGAAGAACTCGGCGTAGTCGCCGCCGCCGCGCTCGACGGCGAAGAGGACGACGACGGCCGCGAGGTCGTAGAAGACCTTGCGCTGCATGTTCGCCGGGTCCGCGGCCGGCCAGGGGTCGTCCCCGGGGCACTCCCAGTCGACGGTCAGCGCCGCTTTCGACGGCACGGCGCGCGTCCAGTTTCCGTACGCGTAGACCTCGAGCGCGTTCCGCGCGACCTCGCGGAGGCAGTACGCCCACGGCTCCAGGTCGCCGCCCCAGTCGTCGTAGTATTCGCCGACGACGCACTCCAGAAGCACGGCACCGCCCTCCACGAGGAAGTTCGCCCAGACGCCGCCGCGGCTGAATTGGAACGCGTGCGCGTACTCGTGGATCGCGCGCTGCTGGATGTTCTTCGGCGTCTCCTTGTCGCCGTGGATGGCGAAAAACAACGGCACGTACTCGATCGCGTAGCCGCCGCACATGCAGGAGGACCGCGAGGACGCGTAGTACGCCTCGTTCTTGCGGCAGATTTCGTCGTCGTCGTCCCAGGAACACTGGTCTTGGCAATGGTCCTCGTCGCGCCCGTCACACGTCCGGTCCATGGCGTCGTCGACTTCCTCCTGGATGTCGAAGCCGAAGCCCTTCCACGCCTTGACGGCCGCGGTCATCGAGGAGTACGCGGACGCGTCCTTCTCGAGCTCCATCATGATGACGGGCACGGGGCCGACGCGCCCGAGGAACGCGGCGGCGAGGTCGACGCCGCGCGCGACGGCGGCCTCGAGGTCCGGGGGGAACCCGGCGGACGAAAAGTACGTCGGCGAGCTCTCGTCGAGGCTCATCGTCGAGTACGGTTGCGGTGCGGTGAGTTGCACCCGCGCGTGCGCGGGCACTCGTCGTCGAGGCGGCGCGCCTCGTGGTCGACGTCCGACGACCCGTCGGAGCATCGGCGGCGCGACCCGGAGCGCCACCAGGTCGCGCCGCCGGGGACCAGGGCCGAGAGGACCACGACGAGCGTTATGGAGGGCATCGGGCGTGATGGTTGCGTTCGGAGGCACCGAGCGTCAACGGCGGTTAAGACGAAGGTACCGAGATCGACGGCGTCGAAGACGAAGGTTGTCAAGTTCAGAAGTGGCGGACGTCGACGAGACGGGTTGACGAAGAGTTGTCAAGCCAGTCAGGAGCGGCCCGGGATAAAAGTTGGGGTAGCCTACGCCGGGTTCTTCGATCGCGCGCCCGGCACCCACCCACCCACCTCCTGGCCAATCAGGGACCTCCCTTTTCGTTAGTTGCCTTCAAGTTGCCGCTCGCAAAATCGCCACAACGCGCGCGCGATTTCGCGCGCGCGCTCTCTCGTGTCGCGGAGCTGCGCGGTCCAATCTCCACTTTGCGATGAGAACGGGCACCCGCGCCGCTCGACTCGCCGCGGCGAGAAGCGGCGCTTGCCCAGAGACGACGATAGCGGCGTGAAGACACGTCGCCGAGGCGCCGCGCGACCGTCAGCCGCGGCACCGCGGGTCATGACCGCGCGCGCGCGCGCGCGTTACAAGTACCCATCAGTACACTGTAGATTTTCCAAACCAGGCCTCCGGACCCACCCACCCACCTCGGCGCGAGGTTCGAATCTTTTGTCCGTGGGTGGCTCCTGAGCCAGTGCCAGAATGAACCTCACGCGAATCACCATTTATGACATTGCCACCGAGCCCTCACATGGAGGCCTACATGGCAAACCCCCAACCTCCCCGAACATGGCCCCCGAACACACGGGAAACTGGTGATTAGAACGGGGCGACGGGCGGGTCAGGAGGGGCACATGCGCTTGGGCTTGGGCTCCGCGGAGCGCTTGGCCACCGCGGCCCAGGAGAGCGGCGCGGCGGGCGGCGGCGGCCCGCCGTCGCCGTCGACGTCGACCATGTCGCTCGAGTCCGCGCGGGGCTTCTTGGGCGACAGGGACGCGGACCCCTCGTCGTCGAGCGTCGGCGCCGACGCCGCGTCGCCGCCGTCGGACGCGTCGCCGTCGCGCGGCCGCGCGGCCGCGCGGAGGCCGTCGTCGTCGTCGTCGACGTCGTCGACCTCGTGCAGGTAGAGGTTCTCCTCCGCGTCGACGTCGCCGCCGTCGCCGGCGCCGCCGTCGCCCGGCGCCGGCGACGCGCCCGGGGGCAGCGCCTCGGGCGGGAGCGCGTCCTTGGGCGTGTGGCGGAGCTCGAGGTCCATGTCGCTGGACCGGTGCTCCCAGTTGTTGACGCGGTTCGAGAACTCGCGGACGCAGGGCGTGAGGTCGATGTGCTGCACATGCGTCTCGAAGGACAAAGCCACGAAGTAGGACCGCGTCTTCTTCGTCGCGCCCGTGGCCTCGCCCGCGTCGTCGACCGCCGCGACCTCGCGCTCGACGTGCGTCGCGTGCGGCCGCGCGCGGACGTAGCCCGGCGTGTCCAGCGCCACCACCAGATTCCGCAGCCGCGACTCGCACCAGGCGTTCCACTTGCGCAGGCCCGCGTCGTCGGCGGCGGACACGTCGACCTGCACGTAGTGGCGGTGCCGCGCGAAGAAGTCCGACGGCGCGAACAACCGGCGCCACGCGTCCCGCAGGTCCGCCGCGCGGTCGCCCGTCGGCGACTCGTCCGCGCGCCAGTGCGCCGCGAGCTTCTCCACGCGCCGGGTCGTTTCTAACCCCTTGGACAGCTCGTCCTTGATGGCCCGGAGCTGCGGCGCGCCGACGTTGTACGAGCTGTTCATCGTCGGGTGCGCCGGCGTCACGATGGGCGCGAGGTGCGCGCGGTCCCGCGGGTTCAGGCGCGGGTTCCAGGCCGCGTAGCGCGACGCGACGGACTCGTCGCCGGCGGACGACGGCGGAGCTCCCGGCGCCGCGATGAGCACGGGGTTCGGCCAGTCCCAGCCGTCGAAGATCCGGAAGAAGCGGCCGACCACCGTGCTCGGCGCCGCGTTCGGGTAGCGCTGGCACACGAAGGCCGCGAGGATCGCGCAGTTCACGCCGCCCAGCAACCCGAGCACGTTCGAGTACAGGCCCTTGCACCGCGCCCAGCGCTTGACGGCCCGTAAAGCTACTCGGAACACCGCCGGGTCCGGAACCAAAGACAGCAGCATCTCCGCGACCCGGGCCCCGTTCAGCGACCGGATCGCCGCCTCGTCCAGGCCCTCCAGCACCGCGTCGTCCATGACGTCCAGCGGCTCGGGCAGCTCGTCGCAGGCCAGCGGCGCGAACAGCAAATCGACGTCCGTCGCGCCCACCCGCAGTTTGACCACCGGCGTGTACGCGTCGCGGACGGCCATGACGCCGCCCGCGCCGATGTGCGCGTCGCCCTCGAGCGCGGCCACGAGCGTGTCGAAGAAGGCGCGCCGCGTGCAGTGGCGCGGCGCCACGAGCACGACGTCGATGTCCGCGTCCGGGGTATGCACGTCCAACCGCACGCTTCCGAACGTCCGGAGCTCGCACCGCGGCGGCGCCGACGCGGCCAGCGCCCGCTCGCAGTCGGCGCCGTCGCAGGCCCGCTCGGCGATGGCCAGCGCCCACTCGTTCTCGCACCACGCGTCCGCGATGGCCCGGAGCCGGTCGAGCACGCCCGTGCGCACGGCCTTGCCGGCGTCGCTCTCGTAGACGCCGAGCTCCCGCAGCGTGTGCACGAGCGCCTCGGACGCCGCCGCGTCGTGCTCCGCGGGCATGTCCGTGTTGATGGGCGGCGTCACGCCGAGGTGCGCCTTGGGCGCCTCCGACGACGACGCCGTCATTTTTGAAAAGACCGGCCGCGACGGCGTCCGGCGCGCGGCGTCGCGCGTCGCCGCGACCGCTCCGAGCTCCGCGAGGCCCCCGGCGCCGGCGCGGGTCGCGGACGCGGCGCGGATGAAGGGCGGGCGCTCCTCGGCGCGGCCGCGGACGGCGCGGCGCTTCAGCGGGGGTTCCGACCCGACGAACCGGACGAGTGGGCGCCGCCGCTCGAGCCGCTGCTCGGGGGCTTGCTCGACGACGTCGGCGGGGCGACGCCGCGGAACCCGCTCCGGGGCGGCCGCGCGCGGGCGCGTTTGTGTTCGACAAGCCACTGGCGGCGACCAACACAAGCTCCGGTTTGTCCGGCCCAGGCCGGGGTGCACCATCTCCTTGAGCCTCAATGATGCCGTGCAGCCCAAGTTTTCGCCCATGTCGAGGATGGGGGACGGGAGAACGTCGCCTCCGCCGCGGTAGGGTCCTCACCACCGAGGTGACGTCGTCTCCGAAGTGCGTCGCCCGCCGTGGTCGAGGCCTCATGGCGGAGGAAGACCTGTTCCGGAGCATAAGCTTCGACGAGGACGGCCTGTCGGCCCCGGCGGAGGCGCGGCGGCGGACCTTCGACGACGTGCTGCTCACGGAGTCGTCCATGCGCGGCGCCATGCGCGTCGCGGCGCGGCGCGCGCGGAGCTCGTTCCGGGAGCAGCGGCTCTTCGCGTCGGCGCGGCGGCGGCTGCGCCCCGGCGGCGATGCCCCCGCGCCCGCGGGCGAGGCGGACTTCGCCGTGGAGGCGTCCGTGGGCGCGGGCTCCTTCGGGGAGGTCTTTCGCGTGCGGAAGGTCACGGGCCCGGACTGCGGCCGGCGCTACGCGATGAAGAAGATCGCCGGGCGGCGGCAGGAGGCGCAGGAACGGCGCATGCTGTTGGCCGCGGAGCACCCCTTCGTCGTGCGGCTGCGCTACGCCTTCGCGACGGCCGACGGCGCGTCGTGCCTCGTCATGGACTTCGCGTCGCGGGGCACGCTCGAGGGCCACCTGAACAAGCGCGCGGGGCGGCGCCTCGACGTCGCGTCCGCGAAAATGGTCGCCGCGGAGGTCGGCCACGCGATCCTGTGCCTGCACGGGCTCGGCGTCGTCCATCGGGACGTCAAGCCGGCGAACGTGCTCGTCGACGCGGCGGGCCACTGCCTCCTGAGCGACCTGGGGCTCGCGACGGTCAGCGACCGGGCGACGCTCGGCCGGTTCTGCGGAACGCTGGAGTACGTCGCGCCGGAGCAGCTCACGGGCGCGCGCTACGGCGGCGCCGTGGATCTGTGGGCGCTCGGCTGCACGGTCTACGAGTGCCTCGCGGGCGCGTCGCCCTTCGCGGCGCCGACGACGCGGGAAGTCTTCACGCGGATCCTGCGCGCGCGGCCGGACCTCGGCGCCGTCGCCGACGGCGCCGCGCGCGGCTTCCTCGGGGGCCTGCTCGCCAAGGACGCCGGGGCGCGCCTGGGGGCGACCGAGGCCGCGGCCTTCTTCGACGCGCCGTTCTTCGAGGACCTCGACTGGCGCGCGCTCGGCGAGCGGGCGCTCCCGCCGCCGCTGCCGAAAGCGCCGGGCGATAGCGACGAGACCTTCGTCGTGACGCCGGAGTCGACCGTCGGCGACGGCGCGGTGGACGCCGGCGACGGGCCCCGCGAGGTCCGCGAGTGGCGCACGGCGCCGGGCCGCCTGGGTTTGCTCCGCGGCGACCGCGCGCTGAGCCGCATCAACTCGGGCGACGGCGACGACGACGACTTCTTCCGGCGGTCCGAGTCCGCGGACGACGGCCTCACGGTGGACCTCGACGACGCGTCGCCGGCGTCGCCCGTCGTCGACCTCGACGCGCCGTCGCCGCCGCCGGAGCCGCGGCCGCCGCTCCTCGCGGACCTCGACGCGTCCGACGACGACGACGCCGCGCCGCCGGTCTACGCGCGGACCTCGTCGCGGCGGACCCTCGGCGAGTCCTGGGTCTGAATTCGCTCTCACGTCCGCGGACCCTCGGCGAGTCCTGGGTCTAAATTCGCTCTCACGTCCGCGGGGCGGCGCCGGCCTTGAGCGTGACGAGGTCCGTCGGGGCGAAGACGGCGTCGTAGAACTGGGCGAGCGCGCGCGCGAGCTTGTCGCGCATCTCGGGCATGAGCGCGGACCCCGGCACGCCCGCGCCGGCCCACGCGCGCGCCACGAGCGTCTGCACGTCGCGATGTCCGTCGATGAGGCGCACCATGACGGCGAGGAACGCGTTCTGGGGCCCCGGCTGCACCTCGAATGAGAGCGGCTGGCGGCCGCGGACCGCGCGGGGCGCCTCGCCGGGCGGCCCCGGGACGACCATCGCGAGCTGGAGCTCCGCGCGGCGCCTTTCTGTTGCTGCGGTGTCGAGGACCGCCGCGAGGGCGAAGAGGCCCGCGGCGTCGACCTGGTTCGGCACGAGGAGCGTAAACGGGTCGAGCGGCGACGGCGGCGGCGGCGCCGACGGCCGCGTGAGGAGGAACTTGAGCATATTGACGTCGCCGAAGCGCACCTCGTTCACCGCCTCCCGCGTCCGCCGGTCGAGCGCGCCCAGGCCCGGCGGCAGGGGCGCGCCGAGCTTGTACCGGACCTCCGGCGCCCACCTGTGTGGATTCCAACCACTGGTTTGGGGGGTCCCCACCAAACTTCAGAACTCTCTATCTCGGTCAAATCGAAGTCGATTCGGCTGATTTTTGAACGAATCGATTGCTCTCGTCGAGTTCTCGAAGCACAGCCGAAGAGACTGCGTCGAAACTGTCGCATACGCTCACATTGAAGTCGGGTTGAATATTTGAATTCCACACAGGCGCCCACGCGCGGAGCTCGAGGCCCGCGGGGTCGATCAATTCGTCGTAGAGCGCGCGGACGGTGTACGCGCGGTCGCGCGGGTGGAGCAGCAGGTCCACCAATTCCTCGTCGGGCAGCGTCGCGAAGGGCCGCGGGTAGGTCGTGCGCTTGAAGTGGTTCGTGGGCGGCAGGTTCTCGTCGAAGGCCTTGACCTTGGCGAGCATCGACGCGTCGTCGTCGCCGTCCGCGCGGAGCTCGTCGCGGAAGAGGTGTTGGAGCTCGTAGACGGCCGAGCGGCCGACGGCCCCGTAGATCATGAGCGCCATGGCGCCGTCGGGCGCGAGGACGCCCTCGAGCGCCCGGAGGCCCGCGAGCGGGTTTTCGAGGTGGTGGAGCACGCCCGTGCTGAGGATGAGGTCGTACGGCTCCGCGGTCACCGCCGCGACGTCGAGGAGGCTCATGGCGTGGAGCGCGAAGTGCTCCTTCTCCACGAAGCCGAACCGCTCGAGGCGCGCGCGCGTCGTCGCCACCGACGGCGCCGAGAGGTCGAGCGCGGTCACGAACGCGCCCTTCCACGGGCGGAGCACGTGCGCCATGCCGACGACCGCGCTGCCCGTGCCGCAGCCCGCGATGAGGACCTTGAACCCCGTGAAGTCGTCGCGCGTGCCGCCGTAGTTGTACTGGCTCAGCTGTTTGAGGCTTAGCCAGTGGTACTCGCTCGGGATATCCCCCTCGTCCGTGCCCTCCTTGACGGCGGGGTAGGGGAAGGCCTCGTAGCGCTCTCTGACCGCCTTGGTGACGTCGACGGTGACGGTTTGCGCGACCGTTGCGGCGGCGAGGGTCACGAGGAGGAGCGGGCGCATCCTCGTAGCGGGTCGAGGACGCGGGTCAGTGGCGGCTCCGAGGTGGCGGGAGGCGTTCTCGCCTTGACGCGTCTCTAAACGTAGGGGCGCCCGGCGTCTCGCCACGGCATCGAGATCTGATCGAGATTTTGAGGCGATTTTGAGGCGTCTTTGGCGAGTCACAAGACAAGGCGTGGGACCCCAAGGCTCGCTTACCCCCCGTCGAGCCTCCCCACGAAGTCCGCGACGGCGCGGGCGTAGTCCGCCGGGTGCGCGCGGTAGTGGCCGCAGTGGGGCGAGTCGTCGAACTCCCGGAGCGCGACGTCGACGCCGCGCGCGGCGCGCTCCGCGGCGTGCGCGCGGATGCCCCGCGGCGGCACGAGGCCGTCGCCCTCGGAGAAGAGGTACAGCTCCGGGCACGTCGTCCCGACGTCCGCGAACGTCGCGAGCGCGTCGAGGGGCGGCGGGGTCCCCCGGAGCGGCCGGAGCGCCTCCGCGGCGACCGCGTAGGGCGCGTGGCGCGCCAGGGTCCGCGCCGCTTCGGCCGCGCCGAGGCCCGCGGACAGGATGACCACGGGCGCGGCCGCGGGCCGCACGACGCCCGGCGGCGACGGCGCCGAGTCGACGACGAGGCCCGCGACGTCCAGCCCCGGCGCGCGCTCGAGCATCTTGAGCAGCAGGAGGACGCCGCCGTTGGAGAAGGCGTGCGCGATGACGGGGCCGCCGCCGACGGCGTCGAGCGCCGCGTCCGCCGTCGCCTCGAGGCGCGTCCACGCCGGAGGGAAGAACGTGTCGTCGATGGACTGGGCAGCCGTAAAGGTCTCGAAGCCCAGGTCGTGCCAAATTCGCTCGTGGCGGCGCACGTGCTTGAGCTGCCCCCCCGTCCAGCCGAGGAGCACGGCGGCGCGTTTCGCGGCCGCGGGGCCGGCGCGGTGGACGAGCATTTCGGGCGCTGGAGCAGCAGCCCGGTCTCCTAGGAATGTTCGAGGGAGTACTGCGACTCGATGCAGCCCGCGCTGCGAGCACGACGACTCGGCCTACGCCGATGCACCGGGAGCACGTGGATGCAGGCTACACCAATGCAACGGGAGGACTTTGCGAGCAGCCCATCGGGCACTGCATCATCGATGCCATGCTGAGATGATGCCGCGATGATGCTGCACAGACGGCGCTCGCTTTGCTTATGCTTGGCACAAACACCCAGAGCGTCGCGCGCGGCTCCGTTCTCAAGCGTTTGATGATGGCGCCGCGGCGCGGCGCTCCGTACCAGCGATCGCCCTACGCCGTGTCGCTCGGCGTGTGCATCGCGCTGCTGCTCGGCGCGTCGTGGTGGCAGGGCGTGGCGACCTACGAGTCGGCGTCGCCCGTCGTCGCCGCCGGCGACGCCGGGTCGGCGGCGCGCTGCGCGGCGGCGCTCTGGGGCGGGCCCAACGCGTCGCAGGTCGCCCTCGCGGCGTCCCTCGACGACGGCGCGGCCGCCGCGTGGCGTTCCTGCAGCGAGGCCGCGTACCGCGAGCGCGACGCGACGCTCGTCTTCGTGCACGTGCACAAGGGCGGCGGCACGACCTTCGTGGGCATGGCCCGGGGCAACCGCGCGGGCCTCGCGGCCGTCGAGCGCAACGGCGACCCGTCCGTCGGCGGCGCGCGCGTCGAGTGGTGGGCGCTGCCGCCGCGGCGACAGAGCCGCTGGTTCGCGAAGCTGCGGGAGCGCGACGGCGTGCGCTTCGTCTCGACGGAGAAGGGCTTCCCGCGCTCGCCGACGCACCTCCTGGCGCCGAAGAAGCTCGTCTACGCCATCGTCGTCCGCGAGCCCGCGCGGCGCTTCGTGTCCTACTACTTTTGGAAGTGGCGCGACGCGTCCTACGCGGCCGTCGCCAGGGCGCGGCTCCGCGCGGCCTTCCCGGCCCTGCTCGGCGCCGGCCGCGAGGTCGCCCGGCTGCGGCCGGGCGCGCCGACCTTCGCGGCGTTCGTCGAGTCGGAGGCGCCGCTCGACGGCTACTACGTCCGGCGGCTGCTCGGCGTGCCGCCCGAGGAGGCGGCGAGCTTCCCGCTGGACGCCGCGGCGCTGGCCGACGCGACGGCGGTGCTGCGCCGCGTCTTCTCCCTCGTCCTCGTCACGGAGCGCCTCGGGGACTTGGCGCCCGTCGCTGTGTGGAAACCAAATCTTCAACCCGACTTCAATGTGAGCGTATGCGACATTTTCGACGCAATCTCTTCGGCTATGCTTCGAGAACTCGACGAGAGCAATCGATTCGTCCAAAAATTAGCCGAATCGACTTCGATTTGACCGAGCTAGAGAATTGTGAAGTTTGTCAGGACCACCCAAACCAGTGGTTGGCAGGCCGGTCGTGTCCGCCGCGCTCGGCTGGGACAGGCCCGACTTCGCCGCGTTCCACGCCAAGTCGAACCCGGCGCCGGACGTCGCCAAGCTCGTCGCCTGGCGCGACGACTGGCGCGAGGAGATCGGCCGGCGCATGCCCCTCGACGTCCAGTTCTACGCCGTCGCCGACGACCTCTGCCGGCGCCGCCTCGACGACGTCGCGCGGACGACGACGACGCGCGCGCGAGGGTAAACCGGTTGTGTCGGCGTTAGGCCCACGGGTCTACCGCGACGACGGCGTCGCCCGGCGCGATGTCCCGAGTCGCGACGACGACGAGCGCGGGCCGGGCCTCGCCGCTCGGGACTTTGCCCGCGAAGGACGCGAGCGCGGCGTTCGCGTCGCCGCCGCCGTTGACGAGCGCCTCCGGCGGGGGGATCGCCATCGCGTCCTCGCCGACGGCCGCCGCGACCTGGCGGCCCGGCTCGCGGATCGCGTCGGCGGTGACCTCCCAGGCGCCGGGCGCGCCGCCGTCCCCGAAGGGCGGCGGCGGCGCCCGCTGGCGGTCGATCGCGAGCGCCACCGCGGACCGCGCGACGCGCTCGAGCTCGCCCCTAGACCAGCTGTCGCCCGCGCCGTCCTCGAGCATCGCGCGCCAGTTCGCCGGCGCGAAGCCCTTGGGTTCGACGGGCGCCGGCGCCGTGAAGGCGCGCCGCGCGGCGACCTCGAGCAGCGGCAGCAGCAGGGAGACGGCCTGCTCGACCAGAGGCGCGACGGACGGGTCGACGGCCGGCGCGTCCGCCGCCCAGAGCCGCCGCGCGACGGGGCCCCAGGTCGACGGCACGACGGTGCCCGCGGACTCGGGCGCGAGGCCCTGGTCCGCGCGCGCGCGATACGTGCGCACGCGCTCCGCGGCCAGCAGCCCCGCGACGGCGACGACGTCGAAGCCGGGGCCCGCCTGGCGCGCGAGGTCGCGCAGCGGCGGGCCGAGGTCCTTGTCGCCGTAGGCCGCCGTCGGCGTGAGGAGCGCGTCGCTGCTGACCGAGAAGATGGTCTGGCCCCTGTTGTAGGCGCGGGCTGCCGTGACGGTCCAGGCGTCGCCGGCGTCCTCGAGCGTCGCGCGGCTGCCGTCCAAGCCGTCGCAGCAGGGCAGCAGGAACTCGGCGTAGGCCTGGCGCGCGTGCTGCAAGGCCGTTGTCTGTGGGAGGAGGAGGAGCAGCATGATTTTGGAGGTGGTCATGGCGCGATTTTTAGGTGCGGTCATGGCGCGACTTTAAGTGTGTGCTGTGCGCAACTATTAGGTGTGAATTGTGCGCAATTTTCAGGAGTGAATTGTGCGTTCAGGCTCGATTTGAGGCGCCATCGCACGCGATCCAAGTCACCTTTGGCTACTTTTTGCTCGCTGAACCTCTTGCCACGCGTGGCCACAGCATGAGCGCCGATTAGGGCCAGCCAGCGGCCACCAAGAGCATGGATCCTGCCATGACGGAAATGGAGATGATGGCGGCCATGGGCTTGCCGACCGCGCTCGGCGGCGGCGGCGGCGCGGCGGCGCACCCGGCGCCGCAGAAGGCGGACCCGACGCGCTGCAAGGCGGCGGCCTGGGCCGACGAGAGCGAGCGCCCCTGCAAACAATGCAAGCGGTCCCTGAGCGCGATCATGTACACGCCGAAGCAGTGGACCAAGGCCGCGCCGTGCTGCATCGACTGCGCCTTCGAGCTGCGCATGGCCGGCCTCGACGACGGCGCCGACGGCGGCGCGGAGCGCGTCGTCGCGACGACGGCGCACCGCGCGGCCAAGGCCGCCAAGCTCGCGGCGCCCGCGGCGCGGCCCGCGGTCTACGAGGAGGCGCCGGCGGAGGAGGACCCCTGCGTCGTCGCGACGCGCCAGCTCGAGTACTACTTCTCGCCGAAGAATTGGTCGAAGGACGAGTTCCTGCGGAATTTGGCGGACGACGAGGGGTTCGTCGCCGTCGAAGCTTTATTTTCCTTCCCGCGGCTCGCGGCGGCGCTGCCGTCGGCGCGGGGCATCGGCCAGGAGGCCGACGGCGTCTTCCTGCGGCGCTGCGTGCGCTACGGGGCTTCTCTGGAGCTCTCGGACGACGGGTCCAAGCTCCGGCGGGACCCCAACGCGCCCGAGGCCAGGAAGAAGCGCAAGCGGGCCGACGTCTTCGTCAGCGACCGCGGCGCCATCGCCCTGGAAGCGACGCCGGAGGAGCTCGCCGCGCGCGCGAGCCGCGCGGCGCGGTTCGTGGCCCCGGACGACGACGAGGAGTACGCCGTCGACGACGAGCCGGCGCCCCTGCCCGAGGACTGGGACGCGGGCGACGGCGGCGACGACGACGAGGGCGCGTCGAAGTGGCGCGTCGCGGGGACCTGCCGGACTTTGGCGAAAGCCTACTACCGCTTGACGTCCGCGCCGCGGCCGCGCGACGTCCGGCCGCCGGACGTCCTGGAAGCGGCCCTCGCCTGGGTCGCGGACAACCTCGACGCCGACTACGAGCGATGGACCGAGCAGTTCAAGTCGCTGCGGCAGGACGTCACCGTCCAGGGTTTGCGGGGCGACCTCGCGGTCCGGGTCTACGCGGCGCACGCGCGCTACGCGCTGGACCACGGCGACCTGAACGAGTTCAACCAGTGCCAGACGAAGCTCGCGGGCCTCCACGGCCTCGACGACGCCGGACGCGACGAGTTCGCCGCCTACGCGTTGCTCTACGCCTTGGTCTTCGCGGGGCCCCGGTCGCACGCGGCCGCGCGCGGCGTCGCGCGGTGCCTGGAGCGCCGCGGCCCGGCGGCGGCGCACGCGCTGCGCGTGGCGTCGGCGCTGAACTTGGACGACGCGCCGAGCGTGTTGGCGCTCGCGCGGTCCGCGCCGCACCGGGGCGGCCGGATCTTGGACGCGCTGGCGCCGAAGCTCCGCGGGGCGGCCTACGTCGCCGTGCTCCGCGCCTTCGCGCCGTCGCTGCCCGTGTCCCGGGCCCACGTGCTCCTCGGCTTCGAGGACGAGCCGACGGCGGCCGACGCGTACCTCGCGGACCGCGGCGCCGTCTGCGCGAAGAACTCCGTCCTCATCAAGGAGAGCCGGGACGCGTTCAACAGGCGGAAGCTCGCGGGGAATAGGGATCCTTAGGCGCTCACCGGATGGGGGGAACGCGATCTCGACGCCGTTCGAGGAGGGGCGCGGGCCGCGCGCGGGTCGCGGCCGGGAGGGCTGTGTGCCCCTCCCGGCCGGTCATGAAGCGCGCGGGTCGCGCCGGGCGGAGATCGCGGGGGGGGACGGGCGAGCGCGCTAGCCTCAGCCGCCGCCGCCGGGGCCGCAGCAGCCCGCGGCGCCGGAGTCGCGCATGACTTGGGACGGGAGCGCCGCCTCGACGTGGGCCTTGGACGGCGGCGCGCGCGCGTAGGTCGCGCGGGCCGCGCCCTCGGGGCACAGCGCGCGGAGCGCGTCCGCGCCGACGAGGTCGCCGCCCCGCCAGGGCACGGCGACGACCCCGAGGCGCGTGGTCGCGGCCGCGGCCGCGACGGCGGCGACGCGACCGGCCTGCGCCGCCGCGCGGCGGCCGAGGACCGCGTGGTCCGTCGCCGGCACGAGCTGGTTCACGACGAAGCCCGCGACGGGCAGCCCCGCGCGGCGCAGGTCCGCCTCGAGCGCGAGGGCCTCGGCGACGGGTGTGGGCTCCGGCAGCGCGACGACGAGGATCGTCGCGCGCGCGCGGAGGAGCTCGAGGGGCGTCGCCGCGGCCGCGCCGCCGCCGCCGCTTTCGCGGTGCTTGTCGACGTCGCGCTGGTAGGCGCCCGTCTGGTCCAGGAGCAGGAGCGTGTGGCCCGTCGGCGCCGTGTCGACGACGACGAAGCCGTCCATGACGATCTTCTCCGCGAAGGCGTCGAAGACCGCGAGCTCCTCCGTGCACGGCGAGTCGAGCTCCTCGCGGAGCAGCGCCTCGTCGCGCGCGCTCAGCGGGCCCTTGGCCGCGACGGCGCGCTCGACGTAGGCGCGCGTCGCCGCCGCCGCGTCGACGGCGTCGACGGTGAGGTTCGGGATGGAAGAGCCGAGCGTCGCGCCGACGTGCGCCGCGGGGTCCGTCGTGGTGACGTGCGTCCGCAGGCCGCGCGCCGCGAGGCCGACGCCGACGGCCGCCGCGAGCGTCGTCTTGCCGACGCCGCCCTTGCCCACGAGCAGGACGACCGTCGGCGGGCCCCGCGCGAGCTCGTCGACGACGGCCGCGAGCGAGTGCGTCGCCGCGGCCGCGACGGGTTTCGGCGCCGCGGCCGGCGGCGGCGGGCCGCCGACGAGCGCGCGCAGCGCGCCGAGGCCGACGACGTCGAAGGCCGCGAGCGCCAAGGACGCGACGATTTGTAGATTTTCGGGCTTTCCGGCGAGAGCGCGGCGCGCTGCTTCGCGGCGAAGGCCTTCGCGACGGCGTCGTCGCCCGGCGTCTCCAACACGCCGTTGAGCACGAGCCCCGCGGGCGCGACGTCGAGCGCCGCGAGCTCGCCCGCGGTGCGCGCGGCCTCGGCGAGCGCCGAGCTTTCGGGCCGCGCGACGAGGAGCAGCGCGGTCCGCGCGCCGTCCGCGAGCGCGGCCCGCGCGGCCGCAAAGGTCTCGGCCTGGGCCGCGAGCGCCTCGACGGGGCCGAGGCAGCTCGCGCCCGTCGGCGATTTCCCGAAGAAGGCCGTCCACTCCCACGCGAGGCCCAGGAGCCGCAGCGTGTGGCCCGTGGGCGCCGTGTCGAAGACGACGACGTCGTAGGCCGCGTCGGGCCTCGCCAGCACGCCCGCGAAGGCGTCGAAGGCCGCGATCTCGACGGTGCACTGGCCCGCGAGGCCCTCCTCGGCCCGGTCGAGCTCGTCGTCGTCCGCGCCGCGGGCCATGAGCGCGCGGAGCGCCTTCTTGCGGTACGCGGCGGCCGCCTGCGAAGGGGCGTTCGGGCGGTCGTGCCCGGTGGACCGTTCCCCGGCGGCACAACTCTTCGTGATTCCACGGTCTCTCGGACGTTCCGGCGCGCCCGTCGTCGTTCCGGCGATCGCGCGTCGTGCCGCCCCCGAACGCGAACCTCTCGGACGCCGCCCCCGCGCCTTCTCCGGGTCCACGTTCGCCGCCCAGAGGTTGCCGCAGACGGACGACGGCGCGCCGACGGCCGCGGAGACGCCCGCGAGGCCTCCGTCCGCGAGCCCGAGCGCCTGCCCGAGGTTGCTCGCGGGATCCGTCGACACGAGGAGCGTTTTTTTGCCGCCGTCGGCGAGGGCGAGGGCCGTCGCGCAGGCCACGCTCGTCTTGCCCTGGCCGCCCTTGCCCGTGAAGAAGACGAACTTCTTGCCCGCGAGGACGCGCGGCAGGTCGCCCGGGAGCGCGCGCGGCGCCGCCGCGGGGCGGTCGCCCCGGCACCGCTCGACGTCGTCGCCGACGCGGCACCCACTCATCGCGACGCACGCCCTGGCGTCGCGGTCCGGACGTCAGCCGCTGGCGACGGGCACCGAGAGCGACGAGACCATTTTCCGCTTTCGGCGAGTTCTTTTCAGCTGTTTCTTACACTCGGCGCTACAGGCACGACACGACACAACACACACACACACAGCGCACTTTACGGGCTGTTACACACACCCACACACACACACACACACAGCACACTTTACGATCTGTGCCTAGTGATTCGTCTTCGCCGTCATCTCGAATCGAGCTTCGAAGTGCAAGTTCGCCAAGGTGCTATTTTTATCCTCGAGTACACTTCGCGACACCGCCACTCGCGCGACCCACGTTCGCGTCGTGCACGGCGGGCCGGTGACGGCTCCCAGGCCCAAGCCGCGCGGCGCCCGCGGCGACGACGGTCCGCGACGGAGCGCGGCAGGTCGCCGTGATCATAGTCCTCGGCGGAGAGGTGGCGCGGACCTAGGGATGGCGACAAGAAGCAGCTAGCTCGACACAAGCGGAGCCTGCCGATCCGAGAACGCAGGCCTGAGAGGTGTCTTGGGAGGCGTTCTTGGTAGGCGTCCGAGAGTCGTTCCGAGGCGGGGTCTCGACTCCATCTCGAGGCAGAGCACGAGTCGCCACAACAGTCGGTCCTGAGACGTCGCGTCGAGTAACAGGCGGTCGAGAGAACGTCCGATGGACTTCGTGAGCAGACTTCTGGCGAACATTCGCGGCACAGGCGGCCCCGGACAACCGCTCGCGCCCCCCGAAGCGACCCCGAACGAAGAGGCGGACCGCCCAACTTTGGATCAAGTTTTGGCGGCGGGGACGCCTTCTCTGGTCGAGGAGGGGGTCTATCCGCCGGCGACGCCGGCGTCCGGACGACGACGACGACGACGACGACGATGACGACGAGCTCGACGACGACGACGACGACGCCGACGACGAGGACCGGCCCGCGGCGCTCGCCGTCGGCCGCCGGGTCACGCGGAGCGCGTCGCGCGCCGCGGAGAAGGAGCGCGAGGCCGCGCTCGTCAAGCTCGCGTGCGAGGCGGTCGTCGACGTCGACGTGCGCGACCGCGTCGACCGGATCCTCGGCGTCATCGCGTCCTGCCGCGACGACGAGGGCCGGCCGGCCGCGGAGCGCGACTTCCGGCTGTCGGGGCCCTTCGTCTGCGTCGGCTGCGGCGCGTGCCGCCGGACGTGGTTCGTCTGCGAGTGCCCCGCGGGCACGCGCCGCCGGCGCGCGCCCCCGCCCGCCGTGCCCGCGGCCGCGCCCCGCGAGGTCGTCGCGTACTTCCCTTCGAGGTCGTACTTCGACGCGTACTTCCCCCCGAGGCCGCCCGTCGCGCCGCCGCACGACCTCGACGCCCAGCCGCTCCAGTACGGCGGCACGATCCAGGAGGCGCCCGTCGCGGCCTTTGGCGCGGACGCGGTCTACGCGTACCTCGACGCGCACCTCGAAGCGACGCTCCGGGCGAACCTGCGCGTCAAGACGACGCGGGAGCACCGGGCCCAGGTCGCGCTCGCCCGCGCCGGCCCCGTGGCGCCGGCCGCGGCGTCGTTGCTCGCGCGCGACGCCCAGAGCCCGCAGCTCCAGCGCGACCTCGGTTTCGTCGCGGACGAGTTCCCGCGGTTCGTCTTCCCCGGCCCCTCGGAGCCCCACGTGCCCAGCGACGGCTACGCGTTCTACGCGGAGCTCGACGCTCGCGCGGCCGGCGACTACCCGGCACCCCACGCCGTCGTCCGGTTCCTCGACGGCGAGCGCGCGAAGCGCGACCGCCTCGCGACGCTGCCGGCGGCGCAGCCCGGCGAGCTCTGGGGCGTCGCCCTGCGCGTCGGCAGCGTCGGCGCCTGGGCGGCGCTCCGGTCCTGCTCCACGGGGCTCCGCGCCGCGTGCGACGCCTGCGCGCCAAAAGTCTTCGCCGCCGCGGCGCGCCACCGCTTCCCGGCCATGGCGAAGCTCCTCGCCGCGTCGGGCCGCCGCGCGGACCACGTCGCCGTCTACCGGCGCCTCCACGAGGCCGACGCCCGGAGCCGGCCGCCCCGGGCCCTCCGGCCCGCGGTCACGTGGGACGACTTCGCGTTCACGGTAGAATTATTCAAGGGCGCGGACTGCGTCTGCTCGACGACGGCGAGCTTCCCCCGCGCGGGGCGGCAGCAGACCTTCGGCACGTCGCTCGTGACGCCGCCCGTGCCGCGGCCGGACCGCGACGACGCGCTCGCCTTCGACGACGACGGCGACTTCGACGACGCGCTCGACGACATGACGGTCCGCGTCTTCTGCCTCGACCGCCGTTCCGGCGACGCGGCGCTGCTCTACTCGTCGGGCTGCGTCGAGGACGTCGACGACGGCATCATCTTCTACGAGCTCCAGCCCGTGCCGGTCCGCACGATCATCCGAGGCTTCGCGCCCTTCGAGGGCGAGCCGTCGGACTCGCCCAGCGTCCAGGTCATGTACGACACGACGGCGCGCGTCTTCTCGATCATGTTCCTCACGCTGGGCTACGACATGGACGACATGGCGCCCAACGAGGTGCTGCTGCTGCTCCAACTCTTCCTCGACTTCAACGCGCCCGTCGTGCCGCCGCCGCCGGCCGCCGCGGAGGCCGCGGAGGCGGCCGCGCCGCCGGTGGCCATGGTCGACGTGCTCGCGCCGCTCCCGGCGGGGTACCTGTAAATAGACGCGTCTGTACTCGCCCCGCGGCGAGCGACGACACATGTTGAAGCAGAAGTTGACGCCAAGTGCTCCTGAAGAGTGAAGAGTCCCCGATGGCATCGTGGCAAGCTTCTACTGAGGCGCACGCTGTCGTCGCAAGCTTCTAGAGGACGCATGGCCGCTGTGGCAACCCTCCTACTGCTCGCGTTTAATCACAATGCAGCAGCGCTGCAGCCGCCGGACGTGCTATCGCGCGCCGAAGCGCTGCGAACGCTCGGACTCCCGGTAGCAGGCTACGCGGCCTTCCGCGCCGGCGCCGCGCTGAGCGTCATCAACCAGCCGCGCGTGCCCGAGATCGATGCGCCCGTCGGCTGCAAATTCGCGCGCATCGGCGACGCGGGACGGTCGTGCCGCGCGAAGATCTTCTACCCCGCGGCCGCCGGCGCGACGGGCGAGGACGCCGCGTACTGCGCCGACGGCCGCGCGACGTCCGACGGCATGGCGGGCCTCGTCGGCTTCCGCCAGCTCGGCCTGTCGTTCCTGCTCGCGCACCTGGCCGACGCGCCGTCGGGCTGCGTTTTGGACGCGCCGCCGGCCGCCGGCAAGTTCCCGCTCCTCGTCTACAGCCACGGCTTCGGCGGGAACATGGACATGGGCTCCTACTTCCTCCGCACCGTCGCGGCGACCGGCGTCGTCGTCGCGGCCTTGGAGCACACGGACGGCACGGCGTCGCGCACGGAGCTCGCGGACGGCAGCGAGCTCCTCTTCTCGCCGCGGATGCTCGCGAGCGGCGCGCAGCTCCAGCGGCGGTCCGACGAGCTCGCCGCCGGCGTGGGCGCGGTCCCGGGTTTGGCGGGCCTGCCGAAGATCTCCGGCGCCTTCGTCGGCGGCCACTCCTACGGCGGCCCCTCGGCGCTCCTGGCCGCCGAGGCGCTCGGCGACGCGCTGCGACGGCCTTGTTCTCCACGATCCGGCGCTGGGCATGGCGTCGCGGCTGAAGCTCACGAAGCCGACGGTGTCCTGGACGTCCGACGAGTACGACCGCGCGGGCGTCAGGTGCGGCGCGACGTTCCATGCGGAAGGGGCCTTCCACGGAAACTTCGTCGACGCGCCGCTCTGGGCGCCGCCCTGGGTCATGCGGCCGCTGTCGTCCGTGATCCCCGCCGCGGGGCCCGCGGACCCGGTCGCGGTCCACGCGGCGCTCGCGCGCGGCGCGGCCCGCTTCATGCGCGGCGAGCCCGCGTCCGCGCTCATCACCGAGCCGCTCTTCGAACCCCGGGGCGACCTTAAAACGACCTAGCCATGGTCACCCCGGGGCGACCTCAAAACTACCGAGCCACGCGCAGGATGGTCACGGGGGCGAGCGCGTTCGCCGACGCGTCGACGTGCGCCTCGTCGACGTCGAGCCCCGCGTCGCGCGCGGCGTCGAGGAAGTGGTCCAGCTGCGACCCGCCGGAGAGGACGCTCGCGAAGCGCCGGTGCTGGTGCGCGAGCAACGCGACGGACCCCTCGGGCGCGAGGAGCGACGCGAGCGTCGCGCAGAGCCGGTCGTGCGAGTCGCGGTCGTAGGTGATGTCGCTCCCAACCACGACGTCCGCGGCGCCGTCGAAGGCCGCGCCCCAGGACAGCGGCGCGACGGTCACGTTCTCCGTCGCGAAGAGGTCGGCGTTCGCCGCGACGTTCTTCGCCGCGATGCGCCGGAGCGCGTCGCTGCCGCCCTCGGTGAGCGCGACACTTCGAGCGCCGAGGGCGGCGGCGAAGCACCCGACGGCGCCCGTGCCGCAGCCGAGCTCGACGACGCGCCTGCCGCGCACGGCGTCCGTGCGCGCGAGGTAGCGGCACAGCGCGCCGGCGCAGGGCCACACCCGCCCGCCCGTGCCGACGCCGCGCGTCCAGCCGGGCGCCTCGAGCTCGAGGAAGGCGCCGCCGGGCAGGGGCGGCAGGCCGTGCTTGTCGGCGGAAGGCTGCGTGGTCGCGAATTGCAAACCGTTCGAGGCGCGCAGCAGCAGCGCCAGGCAGAGACCTTTGCGATGGCACATCGCACCAGCAGAGTCGAAGTGCATGTTGAGCGGCAACTTGAACAAAAAAAAGTTACCCATCCGCGGCCCGCGCCGCGGCGTCCTCGGCCCGCAGGCGGTCGGCCTCGCGCTGGGCGACGTCGCAGCGCCGGTAGAAGGTGCACTTCGCGGACGCGTCGCCGCCGGCCATGTTGCAGGTGAGGTAGTAGGCGCCGTTCTTCGCCTTGAGCGCCGCGACGCGGCCGCAGGCGCACTCGACGCGCGCGCGCGCCGCGAAGTCGGGCCGCGCCATGCGGAAGGTCAGGCTGAAGCGCGTCGCGCCCGCGGCGGCGTGGGGCCGCACGTCCGCGGTCTTGACGACGGCGTGCTGCCACGACTCCTGGCAGTCCTGCCGCATGACGACGAGCGAGTTGTGCGGCGCCGGGATGGACACGACCGTCGCGCCGTCCGCGGAGCGGAGCCGGAACGTGCGCGTGGCGCCGAGGGACAGCCCGGCGATGATCGGCCGCGGGCCCAGCGACAGCAGGAAGTCGCTGTGGTAGCCGACGTGGTCCGCGCCGTCCTCGTAGCGGTTCCCGAAGGCCACGGACGGCCGCCACCGCGCCGCCGACGGCGCCGGGTCCTCGGCCACGACGGACCGCACGAACGCCGCGGCCTCGAGCAGTTCGGGCGGCGCGCGATGCGCGCGCCCGAGGTCGCCGCCGCGCTCCTCGCCGTCGAAGGCCAGCGCCGCGTACTCGTCGTGGTATTCGCGCGCGTCCGCTTCGTCCAACCGGAACGTCCGCGTCGTCCGCGCGTTGGCGCTCGTCTTGCCGAAGACCGTCCACGTGCCGCGGTGCCAGCCGTCCTCGTCCTCCCGGAGCCGCGCGAGGAGCGCGTCCGCGAGGGCCTCGGGCAGCACGCGCCGCCGCAGGCTCGCGGGCGCGTGCGCGGGGACGTCCGCGTCGGCGACGGCGACGGGCGCCGCGGCGCCGCGGCGCACGGTCGCGGGGTTCGCCGGCAGGCGTTGGAGCGTCGCGAGCGCGAAGGCTTTTTTGGGCGCGTCGTCGACGCGCGGCCGCTTGCGCGGTGGCGAGGCGGTGGTGGCGCTGGCGTCGGCGCGCGTCGTTGCCTCGTTGTTTGTCGAGGCGGCGGCTGCGCTGGTTGGCGCGGTTGCGCTGGCTGTCGTTGCCGCGTTGTTTGTGTCAGTGGGCGCGCGTGGGCTGGCGCACATTTCACAAGTCAAATATTGCGACTTTGTGTTGATGAACGTGCACGCCGCGCAGGTCCAGGGACCGCCGCTCGAGGTCTCCATGCCCTTTACAAGGATGGAGAGGCTGGAGTTTGCTTCTCCTTGAGGCAATTATCCACGCTCGCTAAATTGCGGGCGCTGCAGCTATAGACGTGCGCCCGCTATAGTTGTGCGCCCGCAGGACAAAAACCCAGTGATGGAGTCCATGGACGACGACGCGTTCTGGGACCAGGTCGAGCGCGACGACGGCGGCGCCGACGGCGGCGACTCCGACGACGGCGACGCCGGCCCGAGCGTCAAGCTCGAGCTCGCGGGCATCACCGTGGCCTGGCTGCTGAAGCAGGGCGGCACGTGGCACGAGGGCATCCTGCTCGACGAGGCGCGGTCGCGCGGGGTGTTTGTCATGGTGGACCCGAAGGGCGGCGGCGTCCGCGCGGGCGAGCGGCTCGTGCGCGCGCCGCTCGCCGCGACGCTGTCGAGCGCCGCCGCCGCGGACGACGCGGACGTGCGGCGCGTGACGGGCGGCGGCCGCGCCGAGGCCTTTGGGTTGTTGCTATTACTGACATTGAAGAAGCTCAAGGAGGCGGAGAAGACGCCCTACGTCGCGTTCCTCGAAAGCTGCTGCGACGGCGACTTCCTGCGGCCGCCGGACGTCGGCGCGGGCCCGCTGAAGGACCACCTCTGGGCCGTCGTCGACGACCAGGACCGGGTCTTCGACGCGGCGGCGCGGCCGCTGCTGCAGGCCGACGCGTGCTTCGCGGACGTCGACGCGACCGCGTACGCGTGCGCGCGGAAATTGATCGAGACGCGCGCGTTCCAGCTCAACGGGTCGGCGTCGACGCGCGAGGACGCGGTGCAGGCGCTCGTGCCCGGCTGCGACTTCTTCAACTACGCGTCGCCGTCGCCGACGCGGCTCGTGGTCGACGACGGCTACGTTTCTATCGTAGCGACGGCGAACCTCCACCCGGACCACGGCGAGGTGTTCTGGGACTACGCGTCCGTCAACGGGAGCCCGCTGGTGTTGCTGTCCCAGTACGGGTTCCTGCCGGACGCGCTCGACGGGCCGCGCGCGCGCCACGTCGTGCCCTTGAAAGCATCCGGCGCCGTCGGCGAGCTCCTCGACGGCGCGTGCGTCGCGCCGGACGTCGACGGCGCCGACGACGGCCCCCTGCGGCGGCGCCGCGCGGCGTCCGTGAAATTCTGCCGGGACCTCGAGGCGACGCCCATCGCGCGCGCCGCGCCGAAACCGCCGTCGGCCGTGGTCTGGTGGGTCGACGTCGACGCGCCGGACGAGTCGCCGTTGCTCCTGGCGCTGCGCGCGGCGCTCGCGGCGCCCGACGAGCTGCGGAATAGGGACCGGACCGTCGCGGACTGGATCCGGCCCCTCGAATCGAACGAGGCCGGCGCGCGCGCCGCGTTCCGGGACGCGGCCAAGGCCGTCTTCGACGGCCACTGGCGCGCGGAGGCCGCGCCGACGCGCGTCGGCCGCGCGGCCCGCGACTACCAGATCGCCCACCTCTCCCGGCTCATGGCGCGGCTGGACGAGTAATCGCGGCAACGTCGGTTCAAGAAAGCCTGCAAAAGCGGCGATTTTGTATTTTTGAGGTGGAGCGGCCTCCCAAGGCATCTCTGCAGCATCTCTGCAGCGGCGCGTCTCGCGGGGTCGCGCATGGACACGCCCGAGATGGAGCGCGCCGCGACGGCGCCGACGCGGTCCGTGAGCTACTCCATGTTCGACGACCTCGAGCGCCTGAAGCACGATTTCGACGCCGAGGACGCGATGGCCAGCGCGCGCAGCGACGTCTTCTGGCGGAGCGGGCGGGACCCGACGGTGCTCAAGAATTCATTATCCATGATGGACCTGCCGCGCACGCCCTTCCAGGAGCGCCGCGGCACGCTCTACGCGTCGCTGCCCATGGTCGCGGTGCCCGGCCTCGCGACGCGGACGAACGACGTCGTCCGGGAGATCTCCTACGGCCGCTACGTCGCGGAGCGCGGGCTCTACCGCACGCTCGACGAGAGCGGCCGCACGTTCAGCGACCACGCGCGCCGGTCGCCCGCGGACCCGCTGCAGCGCCGCTACAACGAAATGCGCATGAAGCAGCGCCGGGGCGAGCTCGAGGGCTTGACGCGGAGCTACTCCTTCCTCCACCTCTCGCGGGAGCCGTCGGCGCTGAATTTGGCTTTGGTGCCGCGCACGACGGAGGAGGCGGCGCTCTACGCCGCGTGCCGCACCGCGGAGGACGAGCTCTTCAACGAGGTCGTGAGCGCGCCGCTGCTCATGGCCGCGGCCGTGGCGTGCGTGTCCCAGTTCCTCTGCGGCTACAACACGGGCGTCATGAACGCCTTCGAGGCGTCCGTCTTCCCGGGCCACTCGCAGGCCGCGTGGGCGCTCGCCGTCGCGGCGTTCGCCATCGGCTGTGTGGAAACCAACCACTGGTTTGGGTGGTCCTGACCAAACTTGAGAATTCTCTAGCTCGGTCAAATCGAAGTCGATTCAGCTGATTTTTGGACGGATCGATCGCTCTCGTCGAGTTCTCGAAGCCCAGCCGAAGAGCTTGTGTCAAAACATTCGAATACGCTCACATTGAAGTCGGGTTGAAGATTTAAATTCCACACAGGCGATCGGCGGGCCTTTCGGCGCGTTGGCGGGCGGGCGCGTGGCGAACGCGAGGGGAAGACGGTCCGCGCTGCTGTTGGACGCGCTCCTCTTCCTCGCCGGCGGGTCCCTGTTCGCCCTGGCGCCGTCGATGGCGGCTTTGGTGCTCGCGCGCTTCGTCGTGGGCGTCGCGTCGGGATTAGCGTCCGTGCTCGTGCCCGTCTACCTCGGCGAGCTCGCGCCGCCGGTATTACGGGGCACCTTCGGCACGTGTACGCAGTTCGCCACAGCGTCGAGCACAGGCGTGTTTTTTCGCGTGAATTTCGCCTGAAGATGTGAAGGAATCCGACCCCGTCGCACTTGGTAGGTTCGCCATGGTCATCGGCATCCTAGCCGCGGACTGCGGCGCGTTCGTGGACGTGTCGTGGCGGTTCGCGTTCGGCGCGACGCCGGCGCTCGCGCTGCTGCAGCTGCTCTGCGCGCCCTACCTGCTGGAGTCGCCCAAGTGGCTGCTGGACCGCGACGCGGGGTCCGCGGCGGCGCGGTCCGCGCTGCGGCGGTTGTACGGGTTCCGCGACGCGGAGGCGCTCGAGCAAGAAGTCATCCACATCATCGGCGACGGCGGCGGCGCGGCGAAGCGCCACGTGTCCGTCGGCGCGCTGCTCGCGGACCCGTCCCAGCGGCCCTTGCTGCTGAGCTGCGTCGCGTTGCACGTCGCGCAGCAGCTCTGCGGCATCAACGCGGTCTTCTACTACTCGACCATGTTCTTCGAGGGCGTGTTGGCGGACCCGGCGTTGGGGTCCGCGCTCGTCGCGGGCGTCAACGTCGTGGCGACCTACGTCGCCATCGTGCTCATGGACCGGCGCGGCCGCCGGGAGCTGCTGATGTGGTCCGCGGGCGGCATGGGCGCGTCGACGCTCGTGCTGACGGCGGCGCTGCTCGGCCTCGTGCCGACGGCGGCGTCGCTGGCCGCGGTCTGCGCCTTCGTGTCCTTCTTCGAGATCGGCCTCGGGCCCATCCCCTGGCTCATCGTCGCGGAGATGTTCGACGGGCCGGCGCTCGACGCGGCGCAGTCCGCCGCGTGCCAGGTGAACTGGGCCTGCAACTTCCTCGTGGGCCTCGGCTTCCCGGCGATCAACGCGGCGCTGGGCTGTGTGCAAATCAAATCTTCAACCCGACTTCAATGTGCGCGTAATCGAATGTTTTGACACGAGCACTTCCGCCGTGCTTCGAGAACTCGCTGAGAGCAATCGATTCGTCCAAAAGTCAGCCGAATCGACTTCGATTTGACCGAGCTAGAGAATTCTGAAGTTTGGCCCCGACGTCCCAGCTCACTGGTTGATTTGCACACAGGCGCTGGGGCCCGCGTGCTTCCTGCCCTTTGGCGCCGTGCTCGCCGCGGCGTTCGCGTTCGTGAGAGCCGCGCTCCCGGAGACGAGAGGGCTGACGGTCAAGGACATCCAGGCCAAGCTCGCGTCCAAGGCGGTCGTGGTCGGCCTCCCGCGGCCGGGCTACGCGCCCGTCGACGGGCGGGGGGTCGTGTAAGTGTGTTTCCGGAGTTTTGACGCTCGTGGCTCCGGGGGGCCCGTCTAAAGACCGCCTTCTTTTGGTGCAACCGCGCAAGCTTGTCGGTGGTGTCGCCCGGGTCCTGCCACTTCGCGCGCGAGCTGCAACGTAAAGGCACCGTTTACCCCTGCCAGGGGCCTGGGATGTTGACCCGACGTCGGGCATCTCTTCTCTCGCTCGCCTTAAAACGAGGCCAGAGCGTCGCAGAGCCCAGCGGTGCCAACATGTTCTCGCGTGCATCTCTCTTGCGCCTCATTCCTGCGGCGGCAACACCGGTCTTCGTCGCAAGCTGCGATGAGGCGAGCGCGCGCAGCGCAATCGCCAAGCTCATCGAGGATTCGGAGGAGAAGCGCGACGACGGCACAAGCATGGGTCCCACCTTCGTGCGCCTCGCCTGGCACGCGTCCGGCACGTGGTGCGCGAAGACCAAGACCGGCGGCTCCGACGGCGGCCGCATGAAGTTCTGCCCGGAGAGCCGGTGGGGCGCGAACGCGGGCCTCGCCGAGGCCCGCCGCCTCATCGAGGGCGTCGCCACGGCCCACGGCCTGTCGCGCGCCGACGCCTTCACGCTCAGCGGCGTCGTCGCCATCGAAGGCATGGGCGGGCCGACGATCGCGTGGCAGGCGGGCCGCTCCGACGCCGCCGACGGGTCGTCGTCGCCGCCGGACGGCCGCCTGCCCGACGCGGACAAGGGCACGCTCAAGGGCACGGTGCAGCACCTCCGCGACATCTTCCACCGCATGGGCTTCGACGACAAGGACATCGTCGCGCTCTCCGGCGCGCACGCGCTCGGCCGCTGCCACGAGACGGCCTCGGGCTACTGGGGGCCCTGGACCTTTGCGGAGACGACGTTCTCCAACGAGTACTTCCGCCTCCTCCTCGAGGAGACGTGGACGCTCAAGACGACGCACAACGGCCGCGCGTGGACCGGCCCGGACCAGTTCGAGGACCCGTCCGGCAAGCTCATGATGCTCCCGTCGGACGTCGCGCTCCTCTGGGACAAGGAGTTCCGCAAGCACGTCGAGGTCTACGCCAAGGATGAGGAGCTCTTCTTCAAGGACTTCGCCGCGGCCTTCGCCAAGCTCCTCGCCTTCGGCACGCCCGGCGCCTCGACGGGCCTGGTCGGCGGCCTCAAGGCCGCCGTGGGCCTCTAGGCCGCCACTCTCAGCGCACCGAAGCAGGGAGCTCGAACGCGCGATTACTCGGCGTCGTCGATTAAACCCGACCTATATGGCCTACCCCAGAGGCCTACGCGCCCGCCCAAGGCAGGCGCGTAGGCGGGGTGCGTCGCCTAATGCGCTAGAGAGAGGCCTGTGTGACAGGCTGTAGAGAGATCCGGGGTCCGGGCGTCGGGCGGGGCGTTCAGCGAGCGTTGAACAAAAACGCACACCGATTTCACCGAGTTCACGACGGGCGGGGCGTTCAGCGAGCGTTGAACAAAAACGCACGCCGATTTCACCGAGTTCACGACGGGCGGGGCGTTCAGCGAGCGCTGAACAAAAACGCACACCGATTTCACCGAGTTCACCAGCACCTCGCGCGTGCGCGCAGTGACCTCGCCACAACACGATGCTCCTCCGCCGCGCCCTGTCGTCCCTGAGCAGCAGGCGCTTCGACGTCGTCGTCGTCGGCGGCGGGCCCGTGGGATGCGAAGCCGCTCGACTCTCGGCGACGCTTGGCCACAAGGTGGCCGTCGTCGAGGCGACGCGTGACGGCGCGCTCCTGGCGGCGCCCACGGGCTGGGTCAGCAAGGCGTTGCGCTTCGCGTCGCGCGAGCTCGGCACGGCGTCGGGCGATCGCCGCGTGCACTGGCGCGACGTCGGCGCGTACGTCGAGAACACCGCGGGTCGCGCGCTCGGCAAGACGGCCGCCGCGTTCGCGCCGCTCGTCAACGAGGACCGCGTCGAGGCGTTCGCCGGTCCCGCGACCTTCGTCGGCACGAATAAAATCGCCGTGGGCGACGCGACGCTCGAGGCGGCCACGGTCTTCCTCGCGACGGGTTCGACGGGGACGCGCGTGCCGTCGCTGCCCTGGGACGACCCGGCCGCGGCGGAGTGGCTCTACGACTCGGACACGATCATGGGCGTGGGCCGCCTGCCCGAGCACGTGCTCATCCAGGGCGGCGGCGTCATCGGCGTCGAGTACGCGTTCATCCTCCGGCACCTGGGGGCGCGCGTCACCCTCGTCCTCCGCGAGCCGTCGCTGCTCGACGGCAAGGCCGTCGACGACGACATCCGGAGCGCCATCGCGGGACGCCTGGAAAAGGTTGGGGTGACGGTCCGCTACGAGGACGGCGACGTCGTGAGCGCGGAGCCCCCGCGGACGCCGCGCGGCCCCGGCCGCGTCGTCCTGGGCAGCGGCGAAGAAATCGCCTGCGACGTCGTGCTCTCGGCCGTCGGCCGCTCCGGCGCGACGGCGAGCCTGGACCTCGCGGCCGGCGGCCTCCGCGCCACGCCCCAGGGCCACGTCGACGTCGACGCCGCGACGATGCGCGCGTCCGGCGCGGCCCGCGTCTGGGCCGCGGGCGACTGCGCCGGCCGCAACGCCGTATCGCCGCCGGGGCTCCTGTCGACGGGCTTGGCCCAGTGCCACGTGGCCGTGCGCGACGCGTTCCCGGAGGAGTGGGCGGCCTACGTCGCGGGCCACGGCTCCCACGTCGGCGAGGCCGTCAAGGAGGACAAGCACGCGGCGACGGCGCTCTGGATCGAGGACGGCGTCGGCGCCGTCGGCCTCAGCGCGGAGCAGGCCGCGGACGCCCACGGGCCCGACGCGGCGTCGATCGCGGTCCCCTTCAACGACACGATCAAGGCCTGCGTCCAGCCGCGGCCCGACGACGAGTTTCTAAAGCTCGTCTTCCAGCGGTCCACGGGCCGCATCCTCGGCGTCCACATCTTCGGCCGCGACGCCGCGGAGATGGTCCAGCACGCGGCCGTTCTCGTCAACGGCGAGAAAACCATCTGGACCGCGATCAAGGAGGTCCCGCCCGCGGTCACCTACGGCGAGGTCCTCATGAGCGCCTGCTTCCGCGCGGTCGACGACCTCGGCGGCGGCGCGCTCCCGCGGAAGGCGTGACCCGCGCGCGGGTCGAAGGGTAACACGTACCTCAAGGTCGGCTAAATCTCTCGACGCTGCCCCCAATCCTGGCTCTGAGAATCGCTGCCAGCCGAATCACATAACATCCGCGAGCGCCGTCATCATGGGCAGCGACGACGAGAGCGAGGGATCCCGGGACCGTGAGCGGCGCGCGCGGTCCGGCAGCAAGGACGACAAGATGGACGCCGACGACGGCAAGGACGACGGCGAGGACCGCGAGCGCATCCAGAAGGTCATCGAGGTCGACAAGGACGACGCGGCGTTCGTGCTGGGCCGCGGCGGCTCGACGAAGCGCAAGATCGCGCGCGTCGCCGGCGCGGAGATCGAGCTCGACGAGCACGCGCTGACCATCACCATCTCCGGCTTGAAGGACCAGTGCCTGCACGCGATCGACTACATCGACTCATCCGGCAGCAGC